TTTTGTAAAGAATAAATTATCTCATATTAAAATTTGGTGATATGAAATTTTTATATTTATCTCTTTTCTATGTATATTAAATATGTGGGGTTCAATTATAATTAATAAAGAAAGAGAAACATGTCATTTTAAAAGATGTAAAGTTGTATCATTTTAAGTGAGAGAAAGAGATAGATAAAGGGAGAGAGAGACTAGACCAAAAAAAAGTGTGGGTTCCACCTCTTTATAAGAGTGAAATGACATAAATTATGTCATGTAAAAGAATAAATATTTTTTCCATAAAGAAAATGATAAATACAAAAATTTGGAAGTAGATCCTCTCAAGTTAAATAAAACATGACATGATTATGTAAACGAATTATAACCATATAAAAATAGATCAACGATGATAAGGAGAAAAAAGAAAAAATATTAAAATAGATAATTATAAAATCATTATTATTGATTTACCTTTATATAATTATAATTTTCTGATAAATCAATTTTTCAAAAATTTTATCACGAAAAAATCCACTTCATATTGGAGAGATGTCTTTTAAGGGAAAAAGAAGTATCATTTTGAATAACACAAACTTGTATCTTAGGTGTCTTACACAAATCATACTTTGTGTAAATATGAAAAGTTACTTTTTTTCTCTCCTCAGTTACATCGCTGACGTGTAAAGTGAATTTTTTTTTTCTTCAGATTTACACAAAGTACGACCGGTCATACTTTGTGTAATTCACTAAAAAAACACAACTTATATCTTTTTAAATGACATACACTAAACCCGTCTTCCAAAGTAAAAACTGGATATAATCTTCAAACTCTTTTTTTTTTTTTGAAAATAATATAATTTTCAAACTCTGTTCCAATGTAAAAAGAGTGTTACTAAACATCCACCAGCTATAAAGCCTCCAATTTTATCTGACTTCGCTTCATCAATCCAATTTTATCTCTTACATAATAATTAATTATATTCCTTTACCTTAGTTGAAGATTCAATCTCATTAATTATTCAGCATCCTTCTAAAACGTGGTTGTACGCTAATTAAAACTATTCTTAATTAATTAGCCATTACTTTCGTGTGTAAATTTAATTAATTAGAAACAAATTATATTAGATATGTGAATTATCCTTTAGAGGGCGTTTGGTACAGGAGAAACTTTTATTTGTCCGGGAATCTCGATTTTCAAAAATATGATTTTTACATTCAGTTTACGATAATATCTGAAAATTTAAAATTTAAAAAAATTCAGTTTTCCAGAAATCCGAAAAAAATCCGTGTACCAAACGGTTCAAGAAGTCAACTATTATAGATAGATACCCTTTAAGGGACATTGACCATATTGCCACGTCTGAATTTTTTTTTGCCAAAATGACACGTCACAATCTCGCTGGTCTAACAAGCGAAAATGGATTGGACACGTGTCAGGGTCTGAATGGTCAACTATTCTCGCTGGACTGCCCAGCTAGAATGACAGAATGCTGACACGTGGCAAAAGTACAGACATGCAGAAAATGCCTGTACTTTTGCCACGTGTCAGTATTCTGTCATTCTAGCTGGGCAGCTCAGCAAAAATGGTTGACTATTCAGACGCTGACACGTGTCCAGTCCATTCCCGCTTGTCAGACTAGCAGGATTGTGACGTGGCATTTTGATAAATTTTTCTCAGACGTAACAACCAGGTAAATTTTTGTCTAAAAAGTGACGATATGCTCATTGTCCCTACGCTTCAATCTCGCTATAATTCTTCTTATCAGTTAAGTGGTGATCAAACAACTAAAAACATTAAACCAAAAGTGATCAAACAAATAAACATATCTAAGGTCCATCATGGCCATGGAAAAATTGAATTTAAAGCATATTAGAAGAGAAATAAAACTGGATGAAACTCCAACTAAGGTTAGTTGTGTTCCTTCCAGTTCAAGGGAATGCTTGACCAAACACGTTTTCAGGGGATAATTATAAAATGTGCAAAATAATCAAAAAAACTTAGCTGAATCATGAACTGAACTGAACTACACTTAAAATAATCGATTTTTAAAAAACCATTTCATGAACTGAACCAGTTTAAGAACCAAACTGTTTTCGAACCGAACCAAATTGATTTTTATAACTTTATTTTTAAAATTTTAAAATTTTTCTTTTAAAAATAGGAACGACCCGAACCGGTTCCGAATCGAACCGAACCACTTCCGAACCGAATCGTTTAAATCAATTCGGTTCGATTTTTTAAAAAAATCGATTCAAGTCGGCCCATGCACATCCCTAGATAATTCTCAACCAATTTTTTTTTTTTTGATAATAATTCTCAACCAATTTATATTAACTTCACTTAGACCCAAAACAAAAAAAAAAAGGGTTTTTCTTCTAACGTTTCATGTCTGTGAGCAAAATTTTGTTGTGCTTAACATCGTTTATAAATACTTTACTTGTTTTGGAGGGAAGCAAAATAGGGAGATAATTAATAGGGAAACAAATTTCCTTTACATGTAATAAATAGTTTTATGAGTGAGATAAATATTAATTAAATTGATATTTGAATTAATTTATATATTATTTTTAATTATTAAATATGAATTTAAATATGTCCTCTATAATAAGAGAATTCAAGTTATTAAGATTTTTTTTTGGGTACAAAACTTATTAAGAGTTTCAACTCTATTTCTTTTTTTGTTTCGAGTGAGATTCAAAGACCTAGCAAATGGAGAAAAAATATACTAAAATCCAATTAAAATAAATTGAGTAAGATTTGATTCAATCCAAGATAAACTAGATTAGAAAAAAAATGATGCAACTTCAATATTATAAAAAGGTAACTGAATTATATCATTTGGATTATTAATTCGGGCCTTTAGAGTGGGACACATAATGCATAATATAACTGTATGTAAAGTATCTCTTTATTGATAAGCTCAAACTCTACCATTTCTTTTTTATTTTCCTTTTCTTTTTGTGGGGTTGAGATCATTGATGGTACTGGGGAAACATGAAGATAAGAGAAACGCTTAAAAGTGATACATGTGCTGTATGATGAAACGTTAGTCTGTGGGTGAGAATGTGAACGAGGTACATCAGATAGTGCTTTAATTGATTAGTGTTTTGTTTTATTTACCAAAATATACTTTTTAAAACTTCGGTGTTGAAATCTTTTGAAAAAGTTTGTGGCCAGCTTGTTTGATTTCATCATGTTGTGTTAATTACTTGGCGTAATTTGTTTGATTAGAGAATTGTATGATTGATTTGACAAGTTGATTTGGACCGAAGTGTATTTACCTAATTAAGGTAAATTTAGAATGAATTAATTTTCTTAACATAAACTCAATTTTATTTAAGCAATAGTCTAGCATCATTTTATTTTTAAAAAAATTATTACGAGAAAAAAGATATATAAACTTCTCTCAAGACTCACTCGTAGTTTGCTCTTATGGCGATACTAAATGCTAATGTTTTAATATTCATTTCTGTTTTTATATATTAGTAAGAGTTAAGTGCTCTGTTTAACATATATCCACAACTAAACTAAATTTAATCTCACATGAATTTAACATAACATGGGATCCTGCCGGGGAGTATTTAATATTTATTATTAAATACTTCAAGTTACCATTAAAAAATAATAATTTTTGAATATAAATCTGCTAATGTTTATTTATCTTTTATAATAATTTTCATTTTAAAACTTCTAATCAGTACACTAGAGTGTTCGCCAACAAATTCCTTTACATGAAACAAAATTTGAACGTTATACTAATTCAAAAAAATCAAGATATGTAATCCAAAAAATAAAATAAAAAAAAATCAAGATATTATAATAAGGAATAAGCTATTCTCAGTGTTTTTCTCACCCTTATATTATTTATTAATAACTACAATTACATCTTTTATCCGTTATTGACTAGGTAATTTATTTAATTTTAAAGTTAAAGTTATCATTTTTAATTTATCTCATATTGTAGGAGATAAAGTTATTTTCTATATAAGTTTTTTTCCCTCTCATTTTTTTTATATGATTCAACATATTTTTATGTGTATCTTATCAACCTTTTAAAAGAGAGAGATAATTTTATCTCATAAATATCAAACCCTCACATGGAGTTACAAAATAAAATAAAGTATAAAAATGATTATCACAATAAAATTATAAATAAATATAAAATTAAAACTATAATTTATTTATATTTTTTTTGAAGAATAATAAATTAAGATAAGTAATGATTTAAAATTCAAATTTCAAACTTATTGGTGTAACTCAATTAGCAACACAAATTAAATAGATAAGAAATAAATTTGGATTTAATTTTCATTAAATATATATTTAAGGAGAGAAAAAGAAATTTAAATGTGACTAAATTCTAACTTAAGATTAATCATATAACCGGTGTCCGTATAAAAAAAATAATTCAAAGTTTCAAAATAAAAAATAAATGAGAATGTATAAATACAAACATTAATGGCAAATATATGAGTCAGTAATATAAAAAGATAAGAGTAATTATAACACATGACGTTGTGGTGATGGCATGTTGGGTTGAATCATGAATGTTGGAGCGAAGAACGAAGAAATGAAGAATAATTGAGACTTAGAATGGCATAGTGGTTATTTAAGAGAAGTAGAATGTTAAATTGAATTGGCAAAGACGGTAGATTGTAATGTCAGATGTGTGTGAAGTTAGAGTTTTGAGTACTTCGAGGACTCTGAATAATGAAGATCCACGCGTTCAACCCATATTCTGCTAGCATGTACTTAATCATTAACTCAATCGAATGGACGAAACGCAAAGGAAAATGCTACTCCCATAACACGACAACCATAAAACGCAACCTGAAAACTCGTTTTACGTTATTTTCTCCCACCCCTTTCCTTGTACTTTTCTGGAAAACCACACAACCTATTCTTATAAGAATTTTTTGAAAGAAGGAAAGGACTTTACTCAACGTTGACTAATTTATTTTAATTTGCTTTCTTTTATTTCTAAGTAGCCATTCCTTTCATTCAAGCCTTGTTGCTTTTACTTTATCAGCTTTTCAGTACTCACAAACAAACTCTCTCTTTGGGAAATAAACAAAAAAATAAAATAAAAAAATAGTGGAAGAAAATGGGTGAGACACATAACCACCAGGCACCACCGTCAGCACCGGCACCTCCGCCAGGGCCACCACCGCCTAATCTTGGACTTTCAAGAGGACCCACTTTTCCTCCGGCTGAACAACTCCTTCAGCTTCATTATTGCATCCACTCTAATCCTTCATGGCGTTAGTCTCTCTCTCTGAATGTGTCACTGTGTCTGATTCTGGTCTTTTAGTTTCATTTTTTTAATTGATTTTTAATGCCAAAATCTGGAAAAAGTTATGCTTGATGTTAAAAGCAGTTAGGAATATTAATTATGTCAAGGCTTCAAACTTTAAAGGGTTGTAATTTTATTTTATTTTATTTTATACTTCAATGGTTTATTTGCAGATTGCTTTTTGTTGTTACCTTTATTCCAGTAGGATTCTCTTAAAAAAAAGTTGTTTTGTTTTTTTGTTCTTGTCATTTGTATGAATCTTTTATGTGATTCGGTATATGCATAAATTATATCTTAAAACCCTTTTCTAAGTATTTAATTCTCGGATTCAAGCTTATGATGGTTCCTCTTAACGCTTCACCCTTTTGATTACATCAAAAAATTTGGCAGCGGAATTACTTCTACTGGGTTTTCAGCACTACATTGTGATGCTTGGAACAACTGTTTTGATAGCAACCACCTTGGTGCCTGCAATGGGTGGGAACCATGTAAGTGCGGTTAATAATATAATCTATATGCTAAGATTGAGAAACAGAAGCTTGGTTTTACTCATATTGTACTAAGTGTGTTGCTATTCTCGATTCAGGGCGACAAAGCCCGTGTGATACAGTCATTGTTGTTTATGTCTGGTGTGAACACACTGCTTCAGACTTGGTTTGGTTCAAGGCTTCCAGCTGTGATGGGTGGATCACTTGCTTTCATTCTTCCAGTGATGTCCATCATAAATGATTACACGGACAGGACATTCCCTTCTGAGCACGAGGTTTGCCTATTGCAAACAGCTTGTAATTTTTAATGATATACATTTTTTTAACCTTATTATTATTGCAAGAATTTAATTGCTGTTGGAAGTAATGTTTGCTGAGTTCAAACGTACTAAGTTGCTCAAGATGATCTTCTATTTCTCTATCTATCTATCTTTCCGAACTGTTTGTGTTTGTAGAGCCACTGATGTATCCCTTGGAGGGTAAAGTATGTTCATCTAAGGGTACTCTTAGTAGCAATGGTATGAACCAAGGCTATGTTAGAGTTTCACAGACATTATGACTCAAGGGGGAAGTGTGTAAATGGCTATGGTGGCTCTACATTTTTGTAGAGTAACAACTCATGAATAAGAATAGAATAGATCTGCCCCTTCAATGGGAGGAGGGGGTATTTAGAGAGGAGAGGTCACTCTTCAAGCATGGGAGAGAGAAAATGAGAGGGGGGGGGGGGGACAGAGCTGTAGCCACCTATAGCCAAGGACATGGCACAATGCAGCCATTGTTAGTGCACAAAGGCTGCTGACAATGGCTGCTGTGCAGGGGAAAAGGATATCCTCTGTGGTGAGGCTCTATGGCTCACCATGGAGTATCCTCTAGAAGTTCTAGATGTGGGCTATTAAGATTGTTAGGCCTATAAGTGGGTCAGCCAGAACCCCCTCCCCCTTTTTTTCCCCAGCTTGGTAGCTTGCTAAGTCAGGGTGCCAAGATGCATAGGAACTTAAGTCGGCCGTCCATAGTGTGTAGTGTTAAACAATGATCTGACTGATCAATAACGAGCCTTTATATTGGTCTTCATGTCTGTATATGAGTATGTCACACCTGGTCTGCAAGGTTGAGTGCTTCAAGTCTTCTATTTTTGGCTTGCAATTGTACTGAAGTTCTAATTGGTCGGCAATGAATGATTTTTCAGGCCACTTGAATATGCTTGTCGGTAAGGAGAGGTCTCTTCTGAATGTCGCCCCTAGGTGGGGTCGAACATCTTCGTGTTAACTTGCTGGAGTGTCATGGGAAATTCCATGTTTTACACATATAGACAGTCCAAATATCGATTGGCGTTATAAGTAGAAGTTTATCATTCAGAAAGTAATAAAATGGGGGAGATTTGATCACTAGAACATTATATCCTCATCACTTTTAAATTATTGATTTTACATGTCAACTGCTTGCTTCTTTTTCCCGTGTTAGCATATGAAGTTGTGAGGTGAGACTTTGTAGAACCAAATATGGGCCTCGCAACTACCACTATATATAGGCATTTTGGAGCACTATATTTTGAAGACATTTTTATCCATAAAATGTAGTTTGGTCTACTTTGGAATCTATTGCATTATTCTGTGAGCTGTTTCGAGGAAAAAGTATAGAAACTTGTGTGATATTCAAGAACTTCAATATTCCTCCACACGTCGTCCAACTGACCCAGTTGTTTAGAGTATGGTTTAGAGTTTCAGCTATAGAATCTAATGAAAGCTCAACTCCTCATGATGAACTTGCCTAATTCATGCTTAATTTCTATGATTTTCTCAAGTGTTTGATGTTGGCCATCAATTTCATATCATCCGAAAGTCGTGGAGGGTCATGAACAATATGTCGTAGTCATTATGTTGACCAGATTATTCCTCGCAACCGAATCTTTCTTGCTATAGGAAATCTCGCATTCTCAGCATTCACATCTACCGGGGATAGTCAAAGTTCAGTGGCATTTTTTTCTTCTTCATGGCAATGGCAATAACTTGTTTTTCATACGCTCAGAGTGGAACAGTTGGGAAGCTCTCAAGCAAATAAATGATAAACCATGCTCCCCTTGCGTTGCTTTTTCTATGCCATTATCCAACAGGTCTTGGCCATTGAGGAGGTTGTAACATCCCGGGAGCTGACAAGGGCAGGGAGTGATCACCGGTGCAAAAAGAGATGAGGCACAGTTAAGGAGCGGTTCCTGGCAGGTTTCCAGCTAGAGGGGTACATTAATGAATCGAATCAACACCCGAACGAGAGAGATTCAGAGGTTGTGCAGGTATGGGATTGTACAGTTAAGGATAGCTTAAAGGAAATAATATGTACTACCTATACTAACAAGATGCATCTACTTTTCGGTAGCCAATAACTTAAGAACTGCATAGTTAAGCGTGCTTGACTTGGAGCAATTCTGAGATGAGTGACTTCCTGGGAAGTTTCTCATGAAGTGTGTGAGTGAGGACAAAACATGTTGAGAAGTCTTTCGTGCAATAGTATTGCCTTTCATGAAGCCTACCGAAGTCCGGCAGGAAACTCTGGTTCGCATAGGTGATTCAAAATCTTACAATGAAAGGTAGACGCTTGATATTGTAACTATCTATTGACTAAGAAAATGTTAAAAACATAATAGTAAGTGTAGAAAATATTATTTAATCTACAAGCCAATCATATGAATTTGTTGTGGTCAAGTTGGCCCCAAAATTTTGTGGTAAATGCAAAACTTGTTTTGACCAATATTCTAAACATGTAGTTCACGTTGTACTAGTAATACATATATTCTGGAAATGAAAATAGAGTAAAGGCCTCACGTGTATAGGCTCCTGAGTGTCAAGTAGTGTGCCGATGTAGTTGGATGGTTGACCTCCCTGCTATTATCCGTGAAAGAAATTATATGTCTATCCAAGTTGCGTTATTAACCTGCAACAATTAATATCAACATCATTTAAATAATAATAATGTGCCTAGTCATGCCAGGTATTCATTCTGGGGGCAAGCTGACTGCCCGATCTTCGTTGCCTAGATGGCGCGCTGACTGTCTAGGACTTAATATCCTGAATGGGACAGTGGCCATTCAGGGTTTTCATTCTTGGGGCACGCTGACTGCCCGATCGTTGTTACCTAGATGACACGTTGACCATCTAGGACTTAATCTCCTAAATGGGATATTGGCCATTCAGGGTCTTCATTCTGGGAGCACGCTGACCACTCGGTCTTCGTTGTCTAGATGGCATGTTGACCATCTAGGACTTAATCTGTTGAATGGGACGCTGCCTATTCAGGTCTTCATTTTGGGGGCACACTGACCTTCTAGGACTTAATATCCTGAATGGGACGTTGACCATTCATGGTCTTCATTCTGGGGGCACGCTGACCGCCCAGTCTTCGTTGCCTAGATGGCGCGCTGACCATCTAGGACTTAATCTCCTGAATGGGACGTTGGCCATTCATGGTCTTCATTCCGAGGGCACGTTGATTGCCCTGTCTTCGTTGTCTAGATGGCGCGCTGCCCATCTAGGACTTAATCTCCTGGCGCGCTGACCATCTAGAACTTAATCTTTTGAATGGGACGCTGGCCATTCGGGGTCTTCATTCCGGGGCCATGCTAACTGCCTGGTCTTCGTTGCCTAGATGACGCGTTGACGATCTAGGACTTAACCTCCTCAATGGGACGCTAGCAATTCTGGGTCTTCTATTTGGGGTTGTAGTAGGCACCCTGAAATTATGGAGACGACACACTTGCACGTGGACTTCATTCATTAGTGGTTAGGGTGCTCATAGAAAAATTATAATTAAAGGAGAAGTTATAAAATGTTCAAAGATAAGTATGGTGGTGAACAATTACCCTTGCTGGAGGTCGAAATAAAATATTGACCATTCGACCGTCGATATAAGTTGCTGGTCATCCGGCATGTAAATGTTGGCTAGTTGACTTTGTAGATGCTAGTCATTTGAGCAATGTGAAGGCTGGCCATCTTGCTTTGTATATGCTGATCGCCCAACCAATGCAAATGCTGACCACCATAATTATTGACCCAGTTGTTTAGAGTATGGTTTAGAGTTTCAGCTATAGAATCTAATGAAAGCTCAACTCCTCATGATGAACTTGCCTAATTCATGCTTAATTTCTATGATTTTCTCAAGTGTTTGATGTTGGCTATCAGTTTCATATCATCCGAAAGTTGTGGAGGGTCATGAACGGTATGTCGTTGTCATTATGTTGACCGGATTATTCCTCGCAACCGAATTTTTCTTGCTATAGGAGATCTCGCGTTCTTGGCATTCACATCTACCGGGGATAGTCAAAGTTCAATGGCATTTTTTCCTTCTTCATGGCAGTGGCAATAACTTGTTTTTCATACGCTCAGAGTGGAACAGTTGGGAAGCTCTCAAGCAAATAAATGATAAACCATGCACCCCTTGCGTTGCTTTTTCTATGCCATTATCCAACAAGTCTTGGCCATTGAGGAGGTTGTAACATCCTGGGAGCTGACGAGGGCGGGTAGTGATAGTCGGTGCAAAAAGAGATGAGGCACGGACAAGGAGCGGTTCCTGGCAGGTTTCCAACTAGAGGGGTACATGAATGAATCGAATCAACACCCGAACGAGAGAGATTCAGAGGTTGTGCAGGTATGAGACTGTACAGTTAAGGATAGCTTAAAGGAAATAATATGCGCTACATATACTAACAAGATGCATCTACTTTTCGATAGCTCATAACTTAAGAATTGCATAGTTAAGCGTGCTCGACTTGGAGCAATTCTGGGATGAGTGACTTCCTGGGAAGTTTCTCATGAAGTGTGTGAGTGAGGACAAAACATGCTGAAAAGTCTCGTGTTGGTTTGTGGGGACAGTCATTTGATTCTGTAAGTGGCCAGACATTACAGAGGTCTTAAGCGCAGGGTCATAAATGATTGTTTTATTAATACTTTCTAAAAGATTGTTTCGTTAATACTTCCTGGTAGTGTCATCATCTTCATGACTTGGGTACGGTATAGACTTGTGAATTAATAGATTCGTACAATAGTATTGCCTTTCATGAAGCCTAACGAAGTCCGGCTGGAAACTCTGTTTCGCATAGGTGATTCAAAATCTTGCCATGAAAGGTAGACGCTTGATATTGTAACTATCTACTGACTAAGAAAATGTTAAAAACATAATAGTAAGTGCAGAAAATATTATTTAATCTACAACCCAATCATATGAATTTGTTGTGGTCAAGTTGGCCCTAAAATTTTGTGGTGAATGCAAAACTTGTTTTGACCAATATTCTAAACATGTAGTTCACGTTGTACTAGTAATACATATAATAATATATTCTGGAAATGAAAATAGTGTAAAGGCCTCACGTGTATAGGCTCATGAGTGTCAAGTAGTGTGCCGATGTAGTTGGATGGTTGACCTCCTTGCTATCATCAGTGAAAGAAATTATATGTCTATCCAAGTTGCATTATTAACCTGCAACAATTAATATCAGCAACATTTAAATAATAATAATGTGCCTAGTCATGCCAGGTATTCATTCCGGGGGCACGCTGACTGCCCAATCTTCGTTGCCTAGATGGTGCGCTGACCATCTAGGACTCAATATCCTGAATGGGACACTAGCCATTCAGGGTCTTCATTCTTGGGGCACGCTGACCGCCCGATCTTTGTTACCTAGATGACGCGTTGACCATCTAGGACTTAATCTCCTAAATGGGAAATTGGCCATTCAGGGTCTTCATTCTGGGAGCACGCTGACACTCGATCTTCGTTGTCTAGATGGCGTGCTGACCATCTAGGACTTAATCTGTTGAATGGGACACTGGCTATTCAGGGTCTTCATTTTGGGGGCACGCTGACCTTCTAGGACTTAATCTCCTGAATGGGACGTTGACCATTCATGGTCTTCATTCTAGGGGCACGCTGACCATCTAGAACTTAATCTCCTGATTGGGACGTTGGCCATTCATGGTCTTCATTCCGAGGGCACATTGACTGCCCGGTCTTCGTTGTCTAGATGGCACGCTGCCCATCTAGGACTTAATCTTCTGGCGCGCTGACCATCTAGAACTTAATCTTTTGAATGGGACGCTGGCCATTCGGGGTCTTCATTCCGGGGGCACGCTAACTGCCCGGTCTTCGTTGCCTAGATGACGCGTTGACCATCTAGGACTTAACCTCCTGAATGGGACGCTAGCCATTCAGGGTCTTCTATTTAGGGTTGCAATAGGCACCCTGAAATTATGGAGATGACACAGTTGCACGTGGACTTCATTCATTAGTGGTTAGGATGCTCATAGAAAAACTATAATCAAAGGAGAAGATATAAAATGTTCAAAGAGAATCATAAGTATGGTGGTGAACAATTACCCTTGCTGGAGGTCGAAATAAAATATTGACCATCCGACCGTCGATATAAGTTTCTGGTCATCCGGCATGTAAATGCTGGCTAGTTGACTTTGTAGATGCTGGTCATCTGAGCAATGTGAAGGCTGGCCATCTTGCTTTGTATATGCTAATCGCCCAACCAATGCAAATGCTGACCACCTACTTATGTAAAGGCGGGCTACCAATGTTATTATGCCAATCGCCTCTCCAGTAAGTTCTTGGTTTTTGAGTTGAATCCTGTCTAGGCCCCGCATGTAGTGACTTTTTTTTTCCTTGGTTGAAGAATGAAAGTAATCTTGTCTTTCCAGAAATCACGATCCCGACGTGCAATCGTCGATATAAGTTGTTGCTCTTCTGTTATGGTAAATGTTGGCCATCTGACTTGTGAATGTTGACCTCTTGGCCAATGTAGGGATGTTTGTAATCCATATGCATGCTTTGGTTTGAAGTAGTTCTCCATATCAATGTTTTTTACCATGCCATGACCGAGTGGGCCCTTGGCTGCCTCGGCTTTGTTGTGCAATATATGAATTCATAAATTTTGAAAATGGAGCGATTGCCTTTCTGGATTAAATTATGATAAGGAATGATGTTATAGTTTGCCACCGTTGCAATGATGTGTACAAAGTCAAAACATGCCTTTGAGAAAGATATAAATTGTCTAACAATTTGCAAGTACAAAATGAAGAGTGATTCGAACTCATTGCCAAGACTAGTTTCATCTACTGCAACATCTTAATTGTGATTTGATGAGAACGAGTAGTGAAGAACTGACTGGCCAATGTCCATGTTCTCTTGATTGCCACATGACCAATCGAACGGTACAGAGCTGAAGTGAAATAAGAGCTGAAGGCAGAATAAAGAGCTTCCTCTTTAGATAACATGAGCACTTCCACCAGAGATGAATCACAAAGAGAGGAAATTGTCAAGGCAAAATATCTTGCTACGTGGAGGTTCATTATTGCCACAAGCTTCTTCGTATGACCTGCCTAGCGAATGAAAATTCTTTCTTTATAGCACTTGTAGTCTCGAATTCTGGTAAAACAAATTCTGGTATTACATAATTATCTTTGTGATGAAGGATTATTCCAAAATTGCATAGTATATGACTGATCGGGTTTGCCTATGATTGACACTCCAAGGGAAGTTATCTGCCTATTGTGAATAGTGATCAACTTGAAACATGGATAGCTAATCCGAGCAGTGCCATGCTTAACATTATAAGTAGACTATAACAGAAGAAAAGTTGCAGAGATAATTTAGTCAAAGCCATAAGAAGAAAAAGACGAGTTTGTCTACACTGTTCGGTAGAAGTAACTTTACAATACTAAGCTTAGCAAAGGAATTTAAGTGATAAAGATATAGAAGGATGCCAAGCCCAGATGATAGTCTTGTACAGTTTTCAACCGACTCAAACATCAGAGTAGGGTGGTATGGCAACCTTGGTCTAGAGCCAAGAGGTTACGGGAGTACATGCGGCTGGTAATGATTTGAGCAAGGAAGGTATGGGCATTGTCGACCGGTATGAGCAACTGGCATAGCTCCAAGGCATTGTTAGTCGGGATGATCATCATACCATCCACGGATCTCTGCATCAGCATTTGAAGTCAAATAGTGACCGGTCGTGCCTTCAACTGCTTTGTCTACACATCCAGTACTGACTGGGTCATATCAAGCAACGGCCTTAACCGATCGGTATGTAAGCAAATTTGGCTCAAGTATTTATGATGACCCATATGCAGTGAGCTGCTTGGGAGACATATATGGTTTAAAACCATTTAAAAGGCAAAAATTCGTGGCACGCTAGGTGGCAGCCGATCCAGAATTATATGCACAGCCTTCCTGTAGCGTTTCTGACCTGGCTAGTGCGATGCAAATTGCCATGCTTCAGAAATTTACTAAGCTTCTTACAGCAGCGTTACGATCAAGCTTCACTGGTAGTCACCTTGACCAATCAACAAGAAGTCAAAGATGGTGATCGACTGACCATTTCGCAACAGTCTAGAATACCATAATTGTTGATCTAGAAGGCGAGCAGCTGCATTTATCATTTCCCTTCCCCGTTGCAGACTTTCACGCCATTGCTATTTTAAATTTCTAGATATAGATAAAAAGCAAGACTACAAAGAAATGTCAGAAGAGGGTGCCGATTGGGGTTGTCCCCAATCAATCGAGTTATCGAGAAATCCAAAGGTGGTTAGAAATTTATTAGTAATAATTAGTTACAGAGAAAGAAAATGAATGTCAGGGATGAACTATCCTCAGATAAAAAATCATCCTTGAAGGTTGCAGAAGTATTTTTCGTTAAGAAACTAGAAACAAAAACTTAAGATCTCCACCTCTCACTTACGATTTGAGTAGAACATTCTTACCACATTTAGATGGGAATAGGAATTTACTGATTCCTACAGAAGGCACCAATGAAATGTTTGTGTTTGTAGGGCCACTGATGTATCCCTTGGTGGGTAAAGTATGTTGATCTAGAGGTACTCTTAGTAGTAATGGTATGAACCCAGGATCTGTTAAAGTTTCACAGACATTATGATTGAAGGGGGGAGTGTGTAAATAGCTATGATTTTTGCAAAGTAACAGCTCATGAATAAGAATAGAATAGATATGCCTCTTCAATGGGAGAAAAGGGGTATTTAGAGAGGAGAGGTCACTCTCCAAGCGTGGGAGTGAGAAAATGAGGAGAGGGGATGTAGCTATAGCTACCTATAGCCAAGGATAAGGCACAATGCAGCCATTGTCAGTGCACAAAGGCTGCTGTACAGGGGAAAAGGATATACTCTATGGTGAGAGGCTCTATAGCTCACCATGGGGTGCCCTCTAGAAGGTTCTAGATGTGGGCTATTAAGATAACACTTTCTTTTTTTTGTTTGAATGCATTGTCTTTTCTCTGTTTTGAAATTATGTATTGGTTTTCTTCAAATGTTTGTTGGATAATTTTTGTTGCTTTTTCATGGAACCTACCATATTCTCACTTCAGTTTGTATGGTGCATGCTTGTCTTATTCTTTGTTATTTGAATTGCTTTCTTTAACTCCGAATTATGGTGATCTAAAATGCTAATGAATTGTGACACTGGAACTTGTAGAGGTTTATCTACACAATGAGAACAATTCAAGGATCCCTAATTGTTTCTTCTTTCATCAATATCTTCCTTGGGTATAGTAAGGCATGGGGAAATTTAACAAGGTAAATTGATGTCAATTTTGAACGCAATCTTTTTTCCCTCCCTCTAAATTTTTTTACAGTTCGTGGTGATATATTTCTGAAGCTGCATTAAACTTAGCAGCTTTAGTGTATTATTATTATTGTTTAAAATTTTCTGGTGATTCATCTTTCTTTCTCAGGTTGTTTAGTCCCATAGTCATTGTACCTGTTGTATGTGTGGTGGGTCTTGGTCTGTTCACGAGGGGCTTTCCTCTGGTAAATATTACTAATACACTTCCAAGAATAAATGAGTTATTCTTTATAATAAAAAAATATAAATAAAATGACTTGAATAACTCAATTTTCTTCTTCCATGCAGCTTGCAAATTGCGTGCAGGTTGGACTACCTATGCTCATTCTATTGGTCATAACGCAGCAGGTTTTATATCTCATCTGAAGCAATTCTTAGAGTTTCATCCTCTTCTACTGACAATTCCTTTTTTTTTTTTTTTTGGCCCTGCAGTATTTGAAGCGCTTGCATCCTACAACTCATCATGTACTTGAGAGGTTTGCTTTACTTCTCTGCATTGCTGTCATCTGGGCTTTTGCTGCTATCCTTACGGTGGCTGGTGCATACAATAATGCTAAAGAACAGACCCAGTTGAGTTGTCGCACAGATCGCGCGTACCTTCTGTCTTCTGCTCCTTGGTATGTTCAGAAAATAGTTGCTTATAGAGTTTATTTGAATTTAGATGCTCTTTATGGAACTTTATTATAACAATTATATTGTTTTTATTCCAGGATTAAAGTTCCATACCCATTTCAGTGGGGTACCCCCATATTCAGAGCTAGTCATGTTTTTGGGATGATGGGGGCAGCACTTGTCTCTTCTGCAGAGGTCTAGCAACTATTCCTTAATATTATGAATTCTACAATTTTTCTGGCAATTTATATGCACATTCTCAATTTTGAGGCATTTCAGATCTTGACAATTGCACCCTCTTGAAAATGATCTTAATATTTTTTGGCCTATATTACATTTATTTTCAATCCCATGAGATCAAACTGATGATCTAATCCGGAGCTTTTCTCATGATGAAATTTTGAATGCAGTCAACTGGCACTTTCTTTGCTGCAGCCAGGCTTTCTGGTGCAACACCCCCTCCTGCACATGTGCTCAGCCGAAGCATTGGGCTGCAGGTAAAGTTTTAATCATCTTGCTTCTTAACAATTAATTTAATTGATCTTTCACATTTTTACAAAATCTTGATATGCTTGTAACATTTAATACAAACTCTTGTTTTCACCTTCCTTAATACAGGGTATTGGCATGCTGATTGAAGGCATTTTTGGTTCTGTTGTTGGTACTACTGCATCTGTGTAAGAAAGCAATTCTCTATGAACTTTTTGTTTCGGGCAGTGATTTTCTTAAAGTTTTGGTCTCTTGCTGTCATTTTTTTTTTTTTTGGGGAAGGAGGGGGGGGGTTGTGTGTGTGTGATAGTTATTATGTCCTTGGTGGAAATTTACATAGCTTTTTTACTAAACTTTTATGAAAGCATTAGGGGGTGTATTGGGTTGAGATTTTAATGGATTGTTTTTGGACAAAAAAATCCAATGTTATTCGATTTTGAGCCTGTCCGAATTTGGTGGTATTCAATCAAGATTTTAATCAAAGTAAAAACAATCTTGTAGTATTCAAAAATCTGAAGATTTTAATGGATTTTTTATTAGTGTGGATTTTGTGAGACTTTTTAGTGAAAAATATAAATAGCATGCCTCTCTCAACATCTCACCCTAACCCCCAGATTTTCTTGAGATTTCTCTATTGTAGTGTCTTACAATCTACCCTAGTCTTTTCTCAAAGCCAATGTACTTTTTTGACTCGTATATTTTCTCTGGTTTTTGGCATTCCTCCTTCATGATTAATTGATGATTTATTGTTGTGCTTGTCATCTCTAATGATGTGTTCCATTTTATTTTTTTTTGATTTATTTATCGTAGCACTGGTAATACGTTGATGATAAACATATTTAACAGTATATTGCCGATGCTCAAGACTTTTTATGCACCCTATTAGGCACACAATGGGAGACGAAATTTCAATATTCATTTGTTGAATAACAAGGGGAAAAAAATCGTTGTTGCTATTACATAACTTGCTCTTGTCACTGAGTTAAAAGAGCATCTACTCAACAATGTTAAGCATTCTCATACCATAATGAATGCAAGTTACTGTTTGACAAGACAATGAGTAGAAAAATAATGCTCATTGCACAGTACATATGTCAACTTTGAACAGAAAATAGCCCTTGTGTGATTAGAATAAATCGTGATTGTAAAAAAAAACTTTTAAAAAGTCTTTAAAGTTACTACAACTCTAGATAGTCTTTAAAATCTATAAGATTTTTTATCTCAAAATAGTCTTTTAAAATACTAATCCTATACACCCCTTAATTATTAAAAACTCGATGAAATTAGGTGAACCATTTTTAAATCCTTTATCAATGATTTCCCTTGACAACTAAACTTTTTAAGATTATAAACCTTCATTGAGCATTTCTTTCCTTAGCCCATGTGTATTTAAATTTCAATTTGGATATCTATGGATGGGTGGAATGGAATGGTATGGAATAAATTTACCATATCATTGTTTGGATATTTTATGATGGAATGCATGAAAGTTTTCATTCAATTGTTTGGGAAGTGAACAGAATGTTAAGTAGATCAGTAAATATTAAGTTTGTTTCATCCTATGCTCTCCAAATTTGGGGGTAAGAAAAATATAAATATTGGATGGAATAGACTCCTTCAGATTCCATTCTGTTCTACCCTATTTTAAACAATCCTAACAATTGCAAGTAATATCATTTCATTCACCTTCATTCCATCCCTTTCCATCAATCCAAATATGGCCTACAGGAACTGTGGCCGTTTGAATCTCCAAAATCTTGTGAAAATAAATTAATGGCAGCAGAAATTTATGCTTGATTATTATGTTTGTTATCAGATTTAAACTCATTTATCCATATACGATGCTTTTTTTTCTAGATTGTGAAACCAATGAGTGTTATTGACTTATTTCTGCTTGAGCATATTTTGTCTGTTTGTTTGCTTTCCCTTTTGCTTATTACATCAGAATATTCTATTGGAATGGACTTTTTAAGCAAGCTCAAGCCACCATGCCTAGCTTATAAAATTGGTTAGCATATTAGCAACAACAAATTATAATCCTAGGTCCTGTAATAAAAACAAGGGACCTTCAAATACTATTCCTGCTGTGTGTCCTATCTCAAGTGTTCTTTCTTTGTAGTATTTAATATTCAAATAAAAGCCATACTATATATGTTATTAATGTCGTGTGATTATTTTCTACTGTGTTCCCATTGTTTATTTAAAAATAGATCATCAGATTTTGTTAAGGAGGAGCTTTTAATGAAGGCACATGCACGGCAAATGAAGAGATTATAAAAATACGAAGGGCGTGCTTCATAGAAGTGAAACTGGAAAGAGTGGAAGGGGAGGGAATAAAATTTATAATGTATCTGGAGTCCAGATATAATCTCTTTGTGAAATGTCATTTTTCATTTCTTGCTTCTGTGCTGCTTCTGTACGTCCCCTAAGCTTTGTACGTTTAATATTTATTACAGACATAGATTTGTTGATTATGTTTTCATATTTGAAAACTTCTGTTGTATATTTAAATCTTGGTTTTATAGACTAAGAGCTTTTGCAACAGCCATGTGTGAGAGGAATATTAGTTTACATTTGGGTTTAAGAATTCTCTATCTTAGTAAAAACCTGATTAATCTATTTGATAATTGCAGTGAAAATGTTGGCCTACTTGGTCTAACGCATATAGGGAGCAGAAGAGTAGTGCAAATATCATGTGGTTTCATGATCTTCTTCTCAATTTTTGGTACAATATTCTACCTGAAACCATATGGGGAGATTTTCCTTTCGGTTTTACATTTCTGACGTAATTATTTTACTATGTCTCCTTCAGGGAAATTTGGAGCTTTTTTTGCATCAATTCCCCTGCCAATATTTGCTGCTATAAACTGTGTTTTATTTGGTATTGTGGGTAGGTGATGCTGATTTTACATAAATTATTATAATTTTGAGCAGTAGATGCATGCCTTACACACTCTCTTATCTCTCTCTCTTTTGCAGCTGCTATTGGGATTTCATTTATACAGTTTGCAAATAGCAATTCCATGAGAAATATCTATATTTTGGGTCTTTCCTTGTTTCTTGGGATCTCAATACCTCAATATTTTGTCATGAACACTGCACCAGATGGTCATGGTCCAGTTAGAACAAATGGTGGATGGGTAAGTGACTTATGAACTCTCATATTTCTTCATTCCCTATGGTTGATTAGGCAATGTCATCGTTCATCAAACCATAATTAGGATTATAAATATGGGTTGTAAGTTTGAGCTAAGGCCAATAGAATATTAACATATTACCTTTTAGGAAAAAAAACTCTTCCCACTACACTATTTTGTTAGATCAGTAAACATAAGTTGAAAAATATGCAGTAAAAGTTGAGGCAATATCTAAGGTGCAACTTGCCAGCCTCTAGGGCTATTAAGCACAAATTTGGCTGCATGGTTTGGACAATATGGAGACATATTGTTGATCCCTTTTTCTAGTTAAATTTGAACCGTGAATCTTGTTTAAATTAAGATGTATTTAGAAAGTTTGAAGCTGACTTATTGTTTTCTAATTGATTTTCCTTCTAACACATTATTTTTACTTAATTATTTGTTTGCTTGATTTCCTACCTCTGTAAATGCATTTAATCTGATTAGAGTCTACCTTGTCTTGTGTCACAAACAGTTTAATGACATTTTGAACACCATATTCTCTTCTCCTCCAACTGTGGCTATAATTGTTGGGACCGTTCTTGATAGCACGCTTGATGCCAAACATACAGCTGTTGACAGAGGAGTTCCATGGTGGGTTCCTTTCCAGAATAAGAAGGGAGATGTTAGGAATGATGAGTTTTACCGTTATCCTCTTAGGTTAACTGAATTTATTCCTAGTAGATTTCTCTAAAGGTACTATCCATATATGCTTGTATCTAAGCCCTGCAGTGAAGCATAATTCTTAAATCTTTATGCACAATTACCTTTGTAAAATATGGACCAACAAAATTTTCATCATCGACAAGCAGCTAGATTTTGCCTTTACTTGTATAAAATGGATTCATGTGACATTGTAATTCTTTATATCCCATGTTTTTACATGCAAAATTTTTATCTAACAGTATGCTTGAGTATGTGTTCGAGATGGTAGATTTTGTTCCTTGGCAACGAGTTGGGTGATTTTTATGCCTCTAATCAAACAAGAAGCGTGTGCATATCATAGTCAATACATTGAATATAGGAAATTGTATTAGTAATACAAAGTTAGAGAAATGTCAAGTAATACAACGTCAGAAAACACTTCTAAAATGGAGCGAAGGATGGTGTACGAGGAATAATTATAATTATTTTAAATTAATTATGGATGGATAAATTTTTATTTGCCAAGTCTCTTGTGAATTCAAAATCAAATTTCGTACCTTCGTTCTTTTTTATTTTCTCATATCAGGTCTTAGATTTTTTTCATATATGAAAGAAGAGAAAGTGAGCTATGTTGGAAATTGGATGAAGATTTTCAAGAGTCCTTTTACCCTTAGGTGTGATTTATATTTTTGCAGGTGACTTAAAAAATTAGATTAAGGATAATGTTATATAGATTCTTTTTATAATAATAGTTGCTTAAATAAAATTTAAACACGAATATTATTTAATTGGATCAGAATTACTTTATGTTAGTGTTATTATATTCTCGATCTTAGCATTTATCAAGAATGAGTGTAAGATTTATTATTGTTATATCCATATAAGATTATACTACCCTTATGTAGTTTATTTAAAAGATTATTAGTGGAAATATAGTAAATTTTGTTGGTTAAATCATGTCTTTATTTTTGTCTGTGTATGTTTATTTTATTCTGACCTTTAGGTTGCCCTTTTTTTATTGTTTAGGATGTAAGTCACAAATTTATTTCTTCCGGTCGCATGATATAATTTTTTATGATCATTTTATGTTACTTAATTGAAGGATGCTTTGTATTTATAAATTCATAATTCAATTTTAAATGATGTAAAGTTAACAACTAAACAAAGGTAAATTGTCGAAGATAAACTAAATAAAAATAGAAAGTAACATACACCAGAAAGTAAAAGGCATAGTTTGTCATATAACACCACTCTGATATTAATTGACTGGCACAATGCCGCGTGACTTTTGTGCTGGTGAGTAGTATGGGGATTATTTTATGACCCATTCTACAAGTCTAAACACTTGGGTTTTAGTCTTGAAAGCCCATACATAAAACTTTTTAGAGGACATTCATGATGAGCTTAGGAATTTTCTTTTTTTCCTGCACTGCTGCCCTTGTACAGACACTGTGGGTTCAGCATGCCTAACTTGAAAAAGCTAGGCTGACAAGAAGACAACTCTCCACTTTCTCTTTCCCACGCTTGACAGAGGCATCCCCTCTTTAAGTACTCTCCTCTCACATTGAAGGGGTATCTTCTACTGGATGCAACTCAAGAGCTGTCACTCTGCACAAATATGTAGTCACCTTAACCACTCACACACACTCTCCCTTTGATATGTAGCATCATGGGAAGCCTTTACAGTGCTTTGGTCTCTATCATTGCCACTATGAACACCTCTAAATTGACATATTTCACCCACCATGGGACACATTTACGAACCACCAACGGTTTAAAAACAATAATGTTATCTATATACTATTTTATAAGTTTTTATTATATGGTTAAATTTGATGTCACTTTATTCCCTTATACATTGATGTTCTTATTTTGTTATCCCACTAGAGGGGATATAATTGATATGCCTCAAGCATAATAACCCATATTGTCTAGTAACTCCGGCCCAAAACAAGTTTATTCGGGTTTAGAATTTCAAATTTGGGCCCAATGTATTTTCAGGTCATATACGGTCCACGTTTTAAATTAGTTTTAGTTAGATTGATGTTATTTAGTATTTTTAAATTTATAATTTTAAATATTAATCATAAATTGTAAGAATTTTTTTTACTTAAATTAATAATTTTTGTATAATATAATATGATCACCCAATAATTTGTTTCTTATTTTTATAAGATTTTATAATGTAGTTATACATAACCTCTGAATTTTTTTATCTGAATATTAAGTTGGTCCAATCTTGACTTGATTGTTAATGAGATTATGAACAAGTCCGAGTCTAAAAAATAAAACTATCCTTCTCAATTATGTATTTTATGTCAATTATGTCCCTCTGACTCTGCAGAAATTATGATTTCTTGTAAGTGGTATCATGCATTAGACATAAGCATGATTTAATGCTTCCAAAAAAAAAAAGATAGAAAAATTGTAACATCCGAGCGCTGACGAGGGCGAGGAGTGATCGTCGGTGCAAAAAGGCACAAACAAGGGAGCGGCTCCTGACATGCTTCCAGCGACGGGGTACATGAATGAATTGAATCAATATTCGAGAGAGGAATTCTAGAGAATGTGCTGGTATGAGACGGTACAGTTGGAAATAACTTATAAGAATTAATTGGTACTACCTATACTAACAAGATGTATCTGCTTTTCGGTAACCCGGAACGGAAGAACTCTATAGTTAAGCGTGCTTGACTTGGAGTAATTCTGGGATGGATGACGTCCTGAGAAATTTTTTCAAAAAGTGTGCTAGTGAAGATAAATCAGCTAAAAAGTCCAGTGTTAATATGTGAAGATAATCATTTATTCTTGAAACAGTCAGACGTTATAAAAATAAACAAGTGGAGGTACTTAAAGGAAATTTTTTAAATAAATATTACTTATTGACTCATTGTAACTTGTAAGCACTCAAATCAATATTTGTTATGGGTAAAATTAAAAATGCACCTATCAAAAATGCTTATGATATATACATTAAAAAAACACTCATCAAGTTGACTGGGGGAGGCTTGACTTTCACTATTCATAGATTAAAATAAACAAGGATAAAATAAAGATATTGACCAAAGGTAGATTATTAAATGAAAGATAGATAAGAAATCGACTAAGGAAATTTCTCAGCAAACACATGAAAGTGACTTGTGCGATTCTACTGAACACAAATTTGCTTTCGCTTTTTTCAGCATCTCTTACGCGTTTTCTTAGATTTCAATCAAACAGGCTGTTTTGGTGGAGGTATGTGATTGGAACAGGTCGTACATGTACACTTTACATATACGTATATCATGATATGGTGGCCTAAAGAGTCCAAATTTTTTGTCCTAACTTTTGTCCTAACTTTCCAACTAGTAATGGAAAAACCATTTGCTTTTGGAAATCTGTGGATGCATTTTCTTTTTTTCTAGCCGCCTTACTTTTTATGTCATTATTTTTGCTACTTTACTTAACATATCATTCATAAAATGCACCATTGGAAAATGTGAATCTTGAAAGAAAGTGTTCAATTTTAGCAAACCCTTTACATCACATGCTTTCAGAAATTGACATTCTTACCTACAATCATTGGATGAAGAGATAAGAAGTTTGTTCTTTAGAGAGATTAATGGTATTCGAAGAGTTGAACAGGTCCACAGATTAGTTAGATTTATGATGAATGCTAGAAAACAAAGAAAATAAATTGACAATTTTGTTTGTTGTAATTATTAATAGAATTGGATTGGATTTTATCACTGGCTACTGCTAACTTCAGACATAATTGGAATTTAATTTTTGGAGAAAGATAATTTCCATTTCAAGTAGAGGTTAGGAGCAAGTATTTACAAAGAATTGGAATGTAAACATCACAAGAACATAGATAACAGTCAATCTTTAAGCCAGTCCAGATCAAAGTACTGTTCAGGTACTTGAATATGAACATTTGGCTTGGCCTTCTCAACATGTTTCCACATCCCAGACACCTCCTCATCACAAATTACAAGCTGCAGAGACTGCAATGACACTGCAGACTTTGGTAAATTCCTAATCACGGGGCATTCCCTCATGTCTATCTTTGCCAAGCTTACTAAATTACCAAACTCTTCAGGGAAGCATGCAAGGCTAACACATTGAGAAATGTCAATATACTCCAATCTAATCATGTCACAGATACTAGGAGGAAGTGTTTCCAAATCTGGACAAGCATATAAACGGAGGATCACTAGAGATCTTAGTTTTCCAAATTCAATAGGTAGTTGGGTCAAATTGTGGCAGTTGGTGAGACTCAAGTTCTTGAGTGACTGAATTCCACAAATGCTTGAAGGCAACTCAGTTACATCATCACAGTGATCAAGAGTGAGCTCAGAGAGGTTAGGGAAATTTTGGGCTAGGTCTGCCTCTTTTCCCACCAGACTGTTATTAACCTTGCAGAGGACTATAAATAATTTGCTCAAGTTTTTCAAGACAATGCCTGATAAGTGTGGGGTGGAAACTTTTTCAAGCCAGAGGCTTCTCAAGTTGGACAAATTCTTAAAAACTGAAACATTGTGAAGGCAAGCGTATGAAGCACTGTGGTTTATAACTATTAATGCCCTCAAATTTGGCATTCTATCAATGAAGGGTGGCAAGAAGTATTCACTGGATGTGAAATTAATGATCAGCACTTCAGCCTTAGGAAAATCCAGTTTACACCAGTCCATTTCTGTCATTTCACCTGCAATGTGAAATTCATCACAATGATGAATCACAGAACAAGAAAAAAAAATGATAATATAGAAAGTATTTTAGAGAGGGATTGGTATATATGTACCTGTGTGAATTGAAACAATCTGAGCTTCAAACGGTTTGTCCATGTATCTCAACCACTCTTTAGGGAGTTGTCCATTTTCTTCTCTTTTTGGCATAACTAACCTTCGGCGTTCATTAATGCTCCCACGATTGCTCAAATTAAGAGCAAGATCTCTTAGTATGTCATGTTGAGTAACACAAATCTCAAAGCAACTGCTATACATACCCCCAGCACTGAAAAATTAAAATGTCAAAAGGTTTTTAGAATAATGCTATTATTGTTAAGAGACCAAACAAGACATTTAACTTTTTTTTAGTTGCATACCGTGCCTCTTTCACTAAGGTGAGAAGGTTCTTGTTGGAAAGCTCAACCACAATAGCAAATGCTTCTGTTTCATGAATATCATGGATTTCAACCCACATATTGATTAGAACTTCTAGAGGAATCTTTTTATCCTCAGGAAACGAACACAGGTCCAAGAAGCACTCCTTGATCTTTTCTGGAAGGTAATTAGTACTGATTGCCATTCTATCAATCAGATTGATTTCATAGGATTCCCCAATACTTTGGCCTTGAGATAGCCTGTTTTTAACACTTAACCAAAACATTTCAGTCTGGTCTCGCAAAGAAGCTCCAATAACTTTTAGAGCCAGTGGAAGCCTTCCACACTCAGCCACAACCTGTTAGCCGTTGGATACAAGAAACAACAAAGAAGGTGAGCAAAGAAGCTTGATATAGCACACTGTATTTTAAAGAAACTACTCAATCAATGTAAAGGGAAAAAGTTCACAGCTTCAAGCCATTACCTGATTGACCAAATTCTGATTAGCAGCTAAAGGGATTGATTTCTGTCCAAAAGCATGGTGACAGAACAAGGACAAGGCATCCTCTTCACTCAGCAATTCCACTTCATAAGTGGCATTAAAAATTGTTGGGAATTTAAATCTGGATACCACAACGAATTTGCAACCAGGTATTCTAAAGACAAGCTGCTCAAGCACAGAGAGTGACCATACATCATCAAGAACAATCAGGATTTGACTTTGGCTTCTGCAATCAAATTGTGGCATCCATTGCGGAACCGCACAATTTGCATTCAAGCTTCCGTTGCCCATAATATAACCCCAAATCTTTGTCCTGAGATGCTCCACATTTGGGGATTGTGAGACAGTCAAGAACAAGATTCTCTCCTTGAAATAACCTGCAAAAAACACAGCAATTTGATTACATAAAAACTAACATGATCCATAACCCCACATAGTAAATTAAGTGATCAAAGATTAATAAAAGAAGATGAAAAAGGAAAGTGTTTTTTTTGATTGCTTACTTCGGACTTGATCATCTCTGCAAACCTCTCTTGCAAGAGTAGTCTTACCAGATCCACCAATCCCACAAATCCCAACAATCCAAACATCATCTCTTGCAACAATCATATCCAAAACCTTATTCTTCCCAAAATCCAAACCTACACTGAAATTACCAGAACTACCCTCAACCCAAGTCTCATCATCCTCCATACTCCTCACAGCCTCCTCAACCCACCCTCCACCACCAACCCCAATCTTCATGGCACCTAAGTACTGCTCCATCCTCCGGTTCGAGGCATCAACCCGGTCGAACCGCTCGGCCATCTCGAACCGGGTGTGGTGCACGTCAGCCAATATATGAGCCTGCATGGGAACCTGCAAGAACTTTGAAACCGTTTTCTCAAGTTTCTCCATCTTCTTCGCAAGCTGGAAGTTCCTGTACACGTTCCACCGGCTTGAGGAGAGTGCCTTGTGGGAAAGCTCCACGCCGGAGCGAAGGACCTCCGAGATGCGATCAAGCTGCGACTGCCGCGGCGCCGGAAGTTCAACGCCGGAGTATTTGATTTCTTCTATGGTGGGGAGGAGTTCGCGGACATAGGTTATGAGTTGCTCTGCGCTTGCTCTGCACTGAATAGTCTTACGGCAAATGGTTACCAGAGTCTTCCATATATCGGCGGCGATCTCGCCGGAGAAGTCCAACAGGGCCATTGTCTCCGCCCTCTTCCGCCACCACCTACTACTTATGCTTATGCTTATGCTTATGCTTATGCTTATGCTTGTTTCTCTCTTCACGTCCCCATCTTGTTGTTGTCCTTTTTTTTCTTTCTTATATTATAGCGGTCATACGTTAATTACTATAATACCCTTGCTTGATGCTACAATTTTGCTTACAGGTTACTACTGTGAGTGACTTTTTATTACCTTAACCTCGTTTGTCAGAATTCGTTTTAAATGATGGTAAGATGGGAACTAAGATTCAACCGACAGGTCAAACAGGGTGTTAGCTGGAAGAGTGACCATTTTGTCATATTTGGCAAAAAAATTTATCAGAATGACACGCCAACAGTAAATTTTGCTAAAATGCCACGCTGCACCCTTAGCCGTCGTTGAAGAAGTCTGAAAATAATTAAGAGTTAAGATTAAGATAATGCGAATTTGTTATATTTTCAGACTTCTTCAACGACGGCTAAGGGTGCAGCGTGGCATTTTGGTAAAATTTACTGTTGGCGTGGCAGTCTGGTAAATTTTTTTGCCAAGTGTGACAAAATGGTCACTCTTCCGTGTTAGCGCTCTACCACGTCACAATATAGCAAAAAAGAAAACCGCACAAAAAAAAATATTAAAAATGTTTTATTTACAAATTACACGTGTTGACCGGTAATACACACTTGACAGTATTACTAGTCAAACATAATATAGTTTGTAAGTATGTAAAAAAAAAGTTTATAAATGAATTTATCACCTTTATTTTAGGTTACGATAAATGTTTTTTTTTTTGAATTTGGTTTCTCTATGTTTAAATTTTAAAAATAGTTGTGATCAAATAATATGATCAAATAATTTTAAATGATTATGTGATCATATGGTTTGATCACAATCACTTAATTAAATTTTTTTTTCTCTTATCTCGTCATCAATGAGTAATTGTGATCAAACCATATGATCACTTTTAAACTTGAGAGGATCCAAATCCCTTTTTTTAATGCTACTTGATATTTGTAATTTTGTAGGAAAGTGGGTATATCATAGATTCCTATTATTAAATTGTGGGTTGGTTTTTTTTTTTAATAAATATCGATAAATTATTTATATTAAGCTCAAAATGATGTCATTTTGAGGTAAAAATCAATGTATTTTTATAATTATAACTTATTTTAAGGTTATAATAATCTTTATAATTATATTTTTTTAATCTTTCAATCTAAAACGACGTCGTTTTGAGAATAAATGTATATAACTTATCTATATTCATTGTAGAAGCATTAAAGCCTTAAATTGTAGTACCAAACTATTTTGCCAAATTGTTGTGTGCCCATCATAAGAATTCACCCATTAAATTCCTTTCCTTTTCTTTCAAATGATCTTTTGTCCTACGAATTAAGATGTTGTTAGAAGTGTAAATGGGCTCGTTGTTAGAAGTGTAAATGGGCTCGACAGAGTTGGAATTTACTTTAAATAGGTGAAGTTTGAACAAAGTATTTTAAGTCTGACATATTCAATTAATTGATACAAGTTAACGTATAAATCTGATTTGGCCTCTATTGAGAAAATAAAAGGTGGCGTAGACTTGTTAGCTTGTTTAAGGTTATTACACCTTCAAGAATTAAAAAAATTAAAATTATTTTATTATTCGAAATTATTTAAATAATATTTTTCTTTATTTTATTAAAATAAATGGTTTATTTAAAAAAAAATTACAAGCCAAGACTTGTAAAAGAAATTTTTTAAACGGATTTTTTAAGGTCCAAACCGATTTTATTTTACTAAATATAATAGGTCAAATTTAACTTAAACATGATCATGGATCGCTTAACCTATTTATACTCTTAATTATTAGGCTTTGCTCGTTATAGTTTTAAGGAAAAATTTCAAAAATCCCATCACTTATCTCCTCACAATTTTTTTTGAATCATTTACTCCTTTATTTAATTTTTTTTTTATCATTTACCCCCCTCACTTAGGGGGTAAATGATAAATAAAATTTAAGGCAAGGGGATAAATGATTCAAAATTTTGAGAAGGGGATAAACAATTATTAGGAAAGTTATAGGTTTTTTTTTTTTAAATTTTCTCTAATTTTAAAAACTGTTTTCAATTTTAAAAAATAGAAACAGGCTAGACCTAGGTCCTATTGTAACTTTTGTTTTATATTTTATAAAATTATTTTTTGAAAAAGTTTTATTTTTATTTTAATTCTTGAAAGTGTAAAAATATTTGCAGTAAGGTAGTGTTTGGTTGGGGAGAAATTTTTAAATATTAAGGAAATGTAAATACTAGGGATCTGGAGGAAAAATGAGTTAGATAGGAAAGTTGTAAAAAAGTTGTTTGGTGGGCAAAATTTTATCATAAAAATTGAATTAAATTTCTGAATGGGTTTGGTTGAAGATAAAATATTGATGGAAAAATTTAATGAAATTACAAAAATATCCTCGTAAAAACACCTACGTTTTATTACATCTTTCGAACCACAATAAATAATGTGTCAAACGGCTTTCTCAACAATGCTCTTCTCCAATTTATCCGATTTTGTTCTACAATTTCACATGGTCAAACGGCTTTCTCAACAGTGCCTTTCTCCAATTTTTGGTCATCTTCCTCGTTTGCTAGCCAACACTCTTAGATGGGAAAATCAACTCAAAACCTTCAACCAAACGTGGTTATGATAGATACCCACGTTCAGTTAGTCATCAAAATTTACACTTCTTCCCAATCAAATACTACTTAATAGTAATTTATACACTTTTATTTATACTTAACTTAGTTATCAATCTCCAACATCTCGAGATAAAGAGAAAGAAATAATAAAGATTAGTTAAAATTCTGATCTAACAATACTAAAGAGTGATAAATAAGGTAATTAAAAAAATAGATAGAATAATCTATTCTCTTAAAAAACTAAAAAAAATAAAAATAGAAAATGCTTTACGTCTCTTTCTTCTCCTTATCATGGTAATGGAATGGGGCACTGTCATTAGCATCATTCTCAACCCACTGCAAGTGATGCCAGCAACTTCAAGCTTTTGCTCGTGTTTCCAGTTTAATCAGGTTTTTGGTATCAAATTTTGCTTAGATTAACACTTTCCATGAGTTGTGAAACGCTTATTTGCTAAGGCATGTACATTGTACGAACTACGAAGGCATCCACCACAGGTATTCCCTTAATATTTTGGTTTTTAAAGTGACTAAAAAATTATTTATCCAAACAATATTTTTTATCTATTGTTTTTTCAAACAAGTTCCTGAAACCAGTTTTTATTTTTGTTTTTTTTAATAAAAAAATTAAGAGTTTTTAAATAAAAACAAAAATCATTTCAAACAGGTCCAGAGTCCGCAAATGATTATTTCTTCTAATTTAAAGTAAGTAGCAAATTTCTAACTTTCTACTTATGACGCGTGACATGCAAGAACATATTTGTTCAAGGATAAGATATTTTAGTTGTCTTTTTTTTCATGTTTATCTTATTTATTTTAACATCTTTAGATTATAATTTTAATTAACTTTTATCATTTTTTCCTGTTTATGAAATTTTAATCGAGTGATATTGAAAATAAATAAATATAGGAACATAAAAAGAAAATCATTTCTACATCGACTGGAGAAATTTTTTTGCCACCGCTCTCACATTGTTTTTTGTTTTTAAATAAATTTATGGGTCCATTTTTTTGGTTTGTGGCGCAAACAATTTGTTTTCGGCCACAATTATAGAAAACTTAAGCCCATACGTAAAAGAGTGAAAACTTATTACAATTAAAATGTGAGAATATCATTTCTGTATTTGTGGCAGAGAAAAAAAAGTCTGCCATATAAAATAAATCAAAGAGAAATAAACCCATAAAGAGAGAGAAATAATTAAATGATGGATTCACTCTATTTTTGCTCCATGTGACGGATTTTTTTTCCCGCCACATATGCATATATTTCCTTAAAATATTTATGCTAATATAAAGAACCAATTTAACCAAAAAATTTAAGCTGTTGGGGGAGACTTTTATATATCTCAACAGCTAATTTATTTAAAACAACTCATTACCAGAGCTGATTTATCTAAAGACGTCGCAAGGGGGAAAACTGAAACAAAGCATTTTTATTTATTTTGTTTATTTTTTTAACTTTATCTTTACTTTGGTTACTTTATCTTTTGATCAAATCGAAATTTACTTTCCTGTGAAAAAATGAAAACATTTTTTTTAGGAAGCAAAAGTTTAGAAAAGAGAAGGTATGTGATTCTAAGAGTAGGGTATGTTATTAGTTTCAACAAAGATACAATAATTACTTACAAATAATTTATCAATTAAGCATTATTAGCAAGAGTAATATCTAAAATCTTTTTGTCGACGTTATTCAATCCACCCTTTTTTTATCTAACTAAGCACATACAAATCATTTGCCACTGCAAACCGTGGCATATATAGGCTACAGCTGTAACCCGTAAATGATAGAAAAGAAAGTGCAGCTCTAGCTATGAGCATAGCAGAGACACAGAGATATTCAAGTATTGATGAATGACTAAGGTACAAAATCAGGATTGTGTTTACCATTTGATACTTGCATTCTTTGATGAACTTTAGGAACTTGGCATTTGAAATGACACAAGTTGTGGTATGGTACCTCACACTAGCAAAAAGATTGTGTCATAATTTTCACCCCTTCAAGATAATTTCCATTTTCACTCTTTAAGCCAGTCCAGATCAAAGTATTGCTCTGATACTTGAATATGGACATTTGGCTTGGCCTTCTCAACATCTTTCCAAATCCCAGAAACCTCCTCATCACAAATTACAAGTCGCAGAGACTGCAATGACACTGCAGACTTTGGTACACTCCTAATCATGGAGCATTCCCTCATGTCGATCTTCTCCAAGCTTACTAATTTACCAATCTCTTCAGGGAAGGATGCAAGGTTAACACATTGAGATATGTCAATATACTTCAATCTAACCATGTCACAGATGCTAGGAGGAAGTGTTTTCAGATCTGGACAAGCATATAAACGGAGGATCACTAGAGATCTTAGTTTGCCTAATTCAACAGGAAGTTGGTTCAAATTGTGGCAGTTTGTGAGACTCAAGTTGTGGAGTGACTTTATTCCACAAATGCTTGAGGGCAACTCAGTTACATCATCACAGTGATCAAGAGTGAGCTCAGAGAGGTTAGGGAAATTTTGGGCTAGGTCTGTCTCTTTCCCCTCTAGACTGTTATTAATCTTGCATAGGACTATAAACAATTTGCTCAAGTTTTTCAAGACAATGCCTGATAAGTGAGGGGTGGAAACTTTTTCAAGCCAGAGGCTTCTCAAGTTTGACAGATTCTTAAAAACTGAAACATTGTGAAGGCAAGTGTATGATGCACTATAGTTTATCACTATTAGTGCTCTCAAATTTGGCATTCTATCAATGAAGGGTGGTAAGAAGTATTCACTGGATGTGAAATTAATAATCAGTACTTCAGCCTTAGGAAACTCCAGATTATACCAGTCCACTTCTTTCTTTTCACCTGCAATAGATAATTCATCACAAAGATGAATGGTAGAACAAGGAAGGAAAAAGTTTAAAGGGCATTTTAGAGAGGGATTGGCATATATACCTGTGTGAATTGAAACAATCTGAGCCTCAAATGGTGTGTGCTTGTATCTAAACCACTCTTTAGGGAGTCCATTCTGTCGTTTTGGCATTACCAATCGCCTACGTTCATTAATGCTCGCACGGTTGCTCAAGTTAAGAGCAAGGTCTCTCAGAACATCATGTTGAGTAACAGAAATCTCAAAGCAACTGCTATACATGCCTCCAGCACTGAAAGATAAAAATATAACAAGGGTTTTACAATAATGCTATTGGTTATTGTTGCAACTGGCAAAACAAAGAAAATTAACTATCAAAACCAGTAAAAAAATGCTTCCAAGTTGCATACCGTGCCTCTTTCACCAAGGTGAGGAGATTTTTGTTTGAGAGCTCAACAACAATAGCAAAAGCTTCCGCTTCATCAATATCATGGATTTCAACCCACATATTGATGAGAACGTCTAGAGGGATTTTTTTATCCTCAGGAAATGAACAAAGGTCCAAGAAGCACTCCTGGATCTTCTCTGGTAGGTAATTGATACTAATTGCCATTCTTTCAATCAAATTGATTTCATGGGATTCCCCAATACTTTGGCCTTGAGATAGCCTGTTTTTAACACTTAACCAAAACATTTCAGTTTGGTCTCGCAAAGAAGCTCCAATCACTTTAAGAGCCAAAGGAAGCCTTCCACACTCAGCCACAACCTGTTTGCCATCATTTGATACAAAAAAACAGCAAATAAGGTGTGAGCAAAGAAGCTCCATATAGCACTGTATGTCAGATAAACTACTCAATCAATAATGTGCAGGGACAAAATTCACAACTTCAAATCATTACTTGCTTGACTAAATTCTCATTTGCAGCAAAAGGGATTGATTTCTGTCCAAAAGCATGGTGACAGAACAAAGACAAGGCATCCTCTTCACTCAGCAATTCGACTTCATAAGTTGCAGTTAAAATTGTTGGGAATTTGAATCTGGACACAACAACGAATTTGCAACCAGGTATTCTAAAGACAAGCTGCTCTAGCACGGACAGTGACCATACATCATCAAGAACAATCAGGATTTGAGCTTGGCTTCGGTATTCAAATTGTGGCATCCACTGGGGAACCACATAATTTGCATTCAAGCTTTCGTTCCCCATAATATACCCCCAAATCTTTGCCCTGAGCTGCTCCACATTTGGGGATTGTGAGACAGTCAGGAACAAGATTCTCTCCTTGAAATAACCTGCAAAAACAAACTCTTAAAAATTAAAAACTTTTGAAACGCACCCACCAACAATAATTCTGCAGTTTTGCAATATCAATGCCAAGAATTAAACAATGAAGTGTCATCATCTAATGTGATACTAAGAAACATACATATAAAGATATAATATAAAAATTTAACCTATAACCATTATTATTTCAAGTGGTAAGGAGCTTGTTCCTTTTAATCAGATATCTCGAGTTCGAGTAAAACCGTCTATATATAACAAGCCCAATTATGCTTGAACCGAATTAGTTAAATAATCAATGATATATTTAAAGATATAAATTACTATCTAATACATCAAAGATTAATAAAGAAGATGAAAAAGGAAAGTGTTGTTGATTGCTTACTTCGAACTTGATCATCTCTACAGACCTCTCTTGCAAGAGTGGTCTTACCAGATCCACCAATCCCACAAATCCCAACAACCCAAGCATCATCTCTTCCAATAATCATATCCATAACCTTCTTCTTCCCCAAAGCCAAACCCACACCCAAATTCCCAAAACTACCCTCAACCCAAGTCTCATCCTTCTCCATACTCCTCACAGCCTCCTCAACCCACCCTCCACCACCAACCCCAATCTTCATGGCCCCAAAGTACTGCTCCAACCTCCGGCACGAGGCGTCGACACGGTCGAACCGCTCGGCCATCTCGAACCGGGTGTGGTGCACGTCAGCCAATATATGAGCCTGCATGGGACCCTGCATGAACCTTGACACGTTCTTCTCAAGCTTCTCCATCTTCTTCGCAAGCTGCAAGTTCTTGTACACGTTCCACCGGCTAGAAGAGAGAACCTTGTGGGAAAGCTCCACGCCGGAGCGCAGAATCTCCGAGAGACGATCGAGCTGTGACTGGCGCTGAGCCGGGAGTTCCACGCCGGAGTATTTGATTTCTTCAATGGTTGGGAGTAATTCGCTAATATAAGTTATGAGTTGATCAGCACTTGTTCTACATAGAAGGGACTTGCGAGATATGCTTATAAGCATTTTCAGAAGCTCCGTCGCAATCTCGCCGGCGAAGAAGTCATTCAGGGCCATTGTCTCCGCCCTCTGCCGCCACCCCACTAACTAACTGAGTATGCTTCACGTAGCTTCCTTTTCCTTTCTTAGTCTTATAGTACTAATACCTGTCACTGATGGGTTCGTGATTTGACTATAATACCCTTGCTCTGTTTTTTTATTTTTTTATTTATTTTTATGGTATATTCCTGTCTGTTCCGTGAAAGTTTTTTTTTACCTTAACACTTATCATGTTTGTTAGATACAGAAGATTCATTTGCATGTCTCAGAAAGGAGAAACGACTCAACTAAAATGATAAAGTGTTAGCTTTTTTATTTTTTATTGTTATTCTTTTCGTCATGTGACTCGAATGTCACATATTTATTGTTAATTTGCATCGTATTTAGCAAAAGAAGAGAAGGGAAGGTATTTTCAGCAACGTTGTCATAGCTATAATTTTTCTATCAAATATTTTCAAATAACCATTTTAATAAGTATAAGACAATTATCAACATCTATTCCTATAAAAATGGATTTGAAAAGAATTCATATGTTACATTCTCTTAATCTACAATTTCACAAATTATTTCAGTTTTTGAAACTGAAATTTGAGATTATTATATGAGAATATACTTTTAGCAAACAAAATTACAAATATTTTTAAAAGGAGTTGCACACTTTTTTTAAGACGAGACGATACAATTTTGGTTTTTAGTTTTTTTTTTTTAATAAAATTGCATGACCCTTCGATTTTGATGACTTGATCGGGTCACCAGTTTCGATAAAACCCGATTGGTTTAAATCGGTTTTCATCGGGTTTAATATATGGTTGGTCTACTACTTAACTCGAACCGATCAGATGATCGATTCACCGGGTTTCGGGTTGATAACACTGATTTTTTTAATGCTAGATGGTGTACCTCATATATATATATATATATATATATATATATATATATATATATATAATATATAACAGGACGTTTCGACTTTCTAGTATTAGCTAGCCCTAAAAATATTCCAAAAAAAGGGAATCCTTTAGTAAAAGTTCCACTTTGTAACTCTAATAGAGATTGAATAGAGTGAAAAAAAATTTGAATTTGATTCCGCCAAATATATTTTGTCTGAAGAGTGAAAAGCTTTAACTCTAACTAAATTTCAACTCGGAATAGTTTTATAATCGACTCAAAGAGTTGAAACTTAAAGGAATACCAAAAACAATTCTCCTCTTCAAAAGGTAATTAGGTCGATATAAAAAATAAGAGTAAACACCCTTTTTAGTCCCTGTCAATATCTACGAAGTCCTTTTTAGTCCCTGACAATAAAAAAGGACCAAATTGGTCCCTGAAATTACAAAAAAAGGGTCATGTTAGTCCTTATGTCAACTCCCAAATATGTAGAGTGACCCTTTTCTAGTACTTTTAGGGACCAATTTGGTCCTTTTTTATTGTCAGGGACTGAAAAGGACTTCGTAGATATTGCCAGGTACTAAAAATGGTGTTTACTCAAAAAAATAAAAATAAAAATTCCACCAGATTGCAAATAAAACGAAGTGAGTATATTCCAATAACAATCAAGAAAGGATGTCATTCTTTAGGTTCATAGAACTTATAAGTTGGATCATGTTCCCCATGTACAACGACCGCTCCTGGAAGCTCATTCATTGATAGTTAGAGATAACGTCAACTCCAAAAGAGGCTCGTTGACGCCTACAATGACCACTATGCCCCCCGCCAACCTCAAGATTTACTGAGACAAAAAGACTGAAAACGGATCGTTTTCAAATCTGAAATGTCATTATGAAGGTTGATCATGGGATATACCTAAACACTTGCTGATAAGTTAATTATGTGAGGGTTTGATCATGAGATATACCTAAACATTTTCTGATAAGTTAATTATGTGATGTCCATTCACATTAAACTCCTCACTAATCTTGTTTCCAAAAAAAAAAAATTCCTTACTAATCTGGCAGAGATTTCGGGTCAAAAAGTTAATTATGTGATGTCCATTCACCTTGACTTAATGGTCTTCGTATGCACTCGAAATACATTCAATTCTCAGTGGATTTTGTGACTTTTTTTTTTTTTTTTTAGTAGGTTGGATTTTGTGACTTTAGTTGATGATAAATTGATAATGTCGTTAAGCCCACAGAGCTAACTAAAGTTGAATGCTTTGTGTAAATTGCTTTATGTGGACCCCCCAAAACAGACAAAATAAAGAGGAAAAAGAAAAAAGAAAAAAGAAATAAGCATCACACACCCATCATGATTATCAACGAATTTCTAAGGATTGATGCAAACGGGGTAGCATATAAAATTTTAAATTCTCACACGTAAAATGTCTATTCTCATTTTTATTTTATTTTCCTTGTTACATATTTTTAACTAAGTGTTTTGTATCTTACTAAAATGACAAACTTAAATTTCGTGAGATTCCTAAAATTGAAAAATAAAGTTATTATATTCTCTTACAGTTCTTCCCTTTTTTGTTTATCTTTCGCCTAGTTACTTTTGTTTTACAACAATTGCGAAATTAATTAAGAGTATGATTTAATAACTTTTTGTTTGAATAATTTTTTTAAACAAATAGTTTTATGATGTTTTTAAAATGTTTTGGAAGTCATTTTTATTTTGAGAAGTATACTAAAACTAAGATTTACAGATTTTTTTTATAAAAAAACTTATTAATTATCTTAAAATTTTTAAATATGTTTTATTTTTTAAAACAAAAAGAAAAAACACAAACAAATGGGCACTAAAGTAGGCGCATAAATAATTAATTTTTTTATATTTTAAATATAAATAAACATAAATAATAAATTAAAATATAATAGCATAAAATCCTTGTGAAAGAAGAAAAAGAAATAAATTATCATAGGTTCTATACTTAAAGATACTAAGATGGTATAACTTTTATCATTTTAAAAGTTCAATAAATGATAAATTTATCCAAATAAATAAATAGTGTAAATAAAAATTGAACATCTTTAATTAAAAAAATTACAATATGATCTTAATTACAAATTTCCCATTTGATGGTTTGATTTAAATTACCACCTCTATAAGTGTCGATATACTGGTCTTAACCAATCAGAAGCGAACTTCTCTATTGTACTCCACAGTAGCAAGTAGCAACCAGGTGCTTAGAGGTCTATGGCCTAACTTATTATAAATAGTTAAATAGAACAAGCTTAGCCTTTTAAAAAAATTTATTTAAAAAATAGACCATAGGCTTTTTGTGTACATGTTGGACCTATAAGTCTACAAGTCGGCCTATATTATATTATTTATTTTATTTAAATTAAATAAAATTATTATTTTAATAATTTTAAATAATAAAATAATATTATTTTAATTATTTTTTTAATTATGAAATATTTAATAAGCTTAAACAAGCTAACAGGCCTAAGCCAAAAATTTTTTTTTTTAAATAAAATCAGGTCAAATTTATAATTTGGATATACTTAGGCTAACAGGCTAAGTCAAATCTAAATTTTTTTACAAGTCTAACCTATTTACATCCTATTGATGCTCAGACCGACTGCATGTATGTGGTTTTTGTTTAAATAGAAATGCCCGTTTTAAGTTACCAAATTAGTATTCAAGAGAGAAAGAAAAACCACAACTCCATAATTGTAGATAGCCGTCATTGCAGCTTAATTTATCTCGGCCTTTATTTCACATTCCTTGCAAAAGCAAGTTACTTACCTAACATTTGGCAGGAAGTGTTAAACTATAAAAAGTAATATATGAGTTTTATTTTATGTTTAGTGCATTTTAAAAATAAAACAGAATGAAAGCGATATCTTTAATTATCCTAAAAAATGAAACCAAAAAGAAAGGAAAGGACATTACCAAAAAGCCTCTTATTGCTTTTTCCTCGCATCAAAAAAGCATGTCCTTATTTTCTAAAAGAGAAGCATGTTCTTTCAGAAAACTTAGGTAACAGAAGTAGACTACGTATCAGTCAAATTAACGTGGACGGTTTTTTAGGTAACACTAATTCCAGACCGTATCATACACGAGTGCAAAAGCTCCCTAAACATTGATCCGAGATGGATCGTTCAACCTCACTTAGGAGTTAGGATTTTTAGATAAACGCTCTCTTCAAAGTTCAAACTCAATACACCCATGTCATGGCATGGCACCCTTTAGGATTTCCATAATAGGCTCAGAAGTAATCATCAGAAAAGTAAACGCCAATTTAAAGAGCTCCGCCTTGTGACGCTGTGGCAATCTTGATAGCATAAAACTATTTATTTACCCATGTGGCAATCTTGATAGCATAAAACTTGCCCTTATGACACATAGTACATTAGAGCATTGTGTTGGTGGGTAGGTAGGTTCACATTTTGTCCCTGGCCAAAGGACCATCTACCATAATGTTCGAGGTCAATTTCAAATGCTTTAACATAGCTCAAGCCCAAGAATTCATAATGTGAAAAGTTATATTCAATTTCCGAAAAATGAAAAGAAACACTTTTCACTTCCCTTTCATTTGAAAATCTTCACTGCACCCGTTCAAAACTTCCAAACATAACCAAAGCACCGAGAGCTCAGAGTATATAAACATAACCCTTTGCTTGCGTGTGTCTATACCAATATGATACATGGGGTAGCCGTACAACCAGCTGAATATACAAATTATCAACATTTCTTCTTTCTTTTGGCAATTGAGTAATTATCGAGCTAGCTAAACTTTCTTACAGCTGAGATGCGTTGCCTAGAGAATAGTGACACTATCATAATCATAGTGACTTCCATTCCCTTACATAAATTATAAACAAGTTCACTATGTTGTAAACTTCGTTCTAAATGGTAATCATAAGTACAAAGTAAGCGTCCATTACCATAATCGTCTTTTTTTTTTTTTTTTGCTTTCGGCTACTCATCATAAACCCAATTGGAGACACGAGAACGACGAACAAAAGGTCCTCCTCCTGCAATTTTTGAGTCAAGCAATTGAAGTTGTCTTTTAACCCATGGAGGATCATATTCGCTCAGCCACAGAACTTCACCAGTATCCTTGTGCTTAAAATCAGGCTGTTTTGGATTTAACTTGCGCTTTCTTTGATCCCACCACTCATGTGGATTGGTGAAAAACACTTGCCATAGGTGAAGCCGATTTTGATCTTTTTGAATGCCAACTTCAGCTATATTTGTTTAAGATGAGAAGAATAAGAACATACACAAGCACAGGGGGAAAAAAATGAAAAATTGAGAACAAATGAGTTTAAGATCAATCCAGTAACCACAAAAATTCTAGAACCAACTCTGTCAAGAATGAAAATTAAGCCTGTTCCCTGGTGTAAGCAAATATCTATAAAGGAATATGAAAGCAAGAACAACATAGTAAGGAATATGAAAACGAGAACAACATATTAATTTATCCCAAATTGTAGGTAGCCAGATTTCAATGGCTTGAAGTGCATAATGACAACTCATTTAATAATAATACTTCTTTAAAAATTGATTACTTATATGCATAAAATCACATCAGATTTTGCTGAGATTCCTTTTCCACAGAACTCACTATATGTACTAAATCAATAGTCACCTCCGAAATATCTGTACTTTTTCTCTTTTCTGACTCGAATAAAATTTGTTCTTCTATCAAAAGAAAACAAATATTCATCTCCATTTGTTCATGCTAGAAAAATATTTTGGATGAGAATAATTCGTCTTAACATTACCAACTACTTGAGAAATTTTTTTGAGTACTTCCAAACAAGGAGGATAACCAAAGAAAACAACTGCCCTCAGCCTTTCTATGAATATGAGAAACCAAACATACCTTCAATGGAATCTAACTTCTTGTGCTCTTGATGCCCTAGCCTTTGAGCAACAAAATTTAACTCCTTCACATGTAGCTGTAGAGAAATAAATGCTAAGTTTATACACACACATAAAGAGAGAACGATATCACATGATACAGTAAAAAAAAATGGGAACGAATCCTATCATGTTAAAATTTCAAATGAGAGGGTTATGTGATAGTTTTGTATATCTCTCTCTCTCTCTTCATTAATGTTGACAAAGTGTAATTGGATCTCACCTATTTAAAGCACGTGAAGAGAGAGATAGACGCAAAAAGTTAATGTGATTTTGTAACATAAGAGGATCCACTCTCAAAAAAAAAGTATATAGATAAATGAAAAATTGCGAGAAAATGAATGACATTAATAGATTTTCAAGGATAGGATTTTACACGCTTGGACATAAAATCTAAGACAAACTCTCAACATGATGAAGCAATAGGCAAAAGAGGGACATTTTGACGTGAAATGTTAGCTTAACTATATGATAAAAAAAGAAATCACTCCCCGTTAAACCCGACTAGCGAGTGTGGGGTGAAGGAAATCCTTGTACGCAGCATTATCCCAAAGAGGCTGTTTCTTGGATTCGAACCTATAACTTTTCAGTCATAAAGGAACAGTTTTACCACTGCTCTGATTCGCCCCCTTTAGCTTAACTATATGATAGGGGATAAAAAATCTATCGAGCAAGAGGATATTGACCATCTAATAGCATCTTGGAATTGCTTAAATTATTGGAGAAAATTGTTTTTTATTTTCCTTTTTTTCACAAGGTTTCTTAAAATGATTTTGATTAAAAGTTATTTTTAAGTTTTAGCATAAAATAAGCCAATCCAAACACGCACTAAATATGATAGTTATCCAGAAGACTTATGAAAGTATCATGATAGCTAAACCACGAGTACAAACTTGTAATAATGATATAATCATAATTTGAAACTAGCTTTTAAAAAAACCCAAAAAAGAAAAACTAAAAAGAGAAGAAATGAAAAGCTTCATATCGGAAAGTTCAACATTTAAAGACTCAAACGAAAATGTAGTAATCGTTAGATTTAGTCAAGGAGTTGAGACTCAGAGCAAAAATTATGACGAGTTCAATTTTCATCCTAGTACACAAGAATAATACATTCAGGGCAGAGCACAATTCAAACAAGAAGCTAGAGCATAAATACACATGATACATGGTATACCAATATAACCAAAATTGGAAATTGAAAATTGAAAATTGAAAATTGAAAAGATAATAACCCCAACATAAAAGAGAAGAAAAGAAAAGAAAAAGTGATGCACCTTATAGTTCAATTGGAGGTTTCCACTGGCATCAGGTTTAGTGTAAGACCCCAAACAACCTGAAACATAAATAAAATCATTTGGTTTCAAGTGTTTTGAAGCAAATTCTGCTACACAGTCCGACATCATCAGAAGCACCCTAGTAACAAAGCGCACAGCAAAACATTGCTCAGGTTACAAACTCCCAAAACAAAGCAATTTGAAAAAAAACGAAAGAAAAAGAAACGCACCTGCAGGAGGAGCTATTAGGTTCTTTGGATCTTGAAACCTTCAGCACGGTGTGAACACTAAACTTATTGGATTTTAAGTTAACGCGCTTCGGTTCGCGCGTCACGGTCCCAATGAAGCTAGCGGTGTTCTCCAGTTGTGGGCGCCAGTTAATAGTCATGGGACGCTGGAATTTAAGGGCGTGGCTGTAAACGGCGCTGCTACGAGGAACGACGTCGTCGAAGGAGTGTGATGATCTGGGGTGATTTGGAGTTAAGGACGTGGAGAAGGGAAAACATCTTTGCGGAGAAAAAGAAAATATTGACGAAAGACGACGGAATGGTTTCAGTTTCATAGACTCCGACGAAGCATGCCGATTCCGGCGATCAAGTTTTCCCGCCGGTCATGAATTTCGCGGGCTCCGACCTAAGTTGTGTCTTGACATTGCAATCTTAAAAACAGATAGGGTTTGCGCATTTCTTTCACTTTTGGGCTTCGGTCTGCGGAACTAGTTACGATGGGCCTTTTACTATTGGGCCGAAGTGTGGCCTTGTACATGCCCAAGCAGTGTTATGCAGTGAACTTTTGAATGTGAATGTGAATGTGACTGACATAGTCTTTGACCCCTTTGGAAACGAAGCGGTCTGGGCATTCACTTGTTTCATTTATTTTATTCACATCTTTATCCTTTTATAATTGAGTTTATTGTTTGTCCTCTTTATAAAAAATAAAATTATCTCCTTTAATTCAAAATTATGTTATTTTAAGGGTTTACAGAATTAATAAAAGGTATTTTGATTATTAAAGAGGAAAAAATATCTAATATTACTTTAGACAATTTTATCTAATATTCACCGAAACGATGTCGTTTTGGAATTAAAAAATTAAAACGATAAAGATTATTATAACTCTGAAATAAATTAAAATTACAAATACATTATGATTTCGGCCCCAAAACGAATCGTTTCACTGAACATTAGGTAAAATTGTCTGAAGTAACTTTAGAAAAAGCAAACACAAAAATAAAATTATCAAAACATTTTTCATTAATTTCGTCAATTCTCAAAATAGTATAGTTTTGGATTATAGGAAATAACTTTATCTCCTGTTATAAGAAAAATAATTTTTGCTTTATAATTAATGTTTTATGTTTTATGTTTTATGAGTTGTATTTTTTTTTTTAATTTTCATAAAGGAGTAACTATTACTCAAAATCGGGCACATTGACTATTTTCCCTTTTTTTTGACAAATTATATATTTTATTTCAATCGTGATCAAAGTCACGCTCTCAAACTCAGCGGGACATTTTTTGTCAAGTGATTCCATGCAGAAATCTCAACGATACTTCATGTGTCTATAATTGCGTATTCATTTATTGACACATGTCACGTCACATGTTATATATATTATGACTCCAAATCCTCCCAAGTCTCAATTCAACTTATAATGTGAATTAAGTGGGTTTGAGTTTCAGCCTCAAACTCGCTCCTTCCGAACAATGAAAAATAAATTAAAAACAAAATATTTAACCCAAAGTCAACACCGTTGTTCTTGACATATGCATTATTCCGTACAATCGGCATTTTCTCGTTGGAATTTTATAACAAAACCGAAGTGCTAAGAAATATCGTAGGTGTTTCTGTGCTTTACTATGGCCTACTTAGTCTGAAGCATTAGCATATGCATATCCTTTTTTGCTTTTGCTAGCACTTTCACACGACCACTCCAACAATCACCACACTCTTAAAATGCTTTCTCGCAAACCAGTTTCTTCTTCTTTTCCTTTACCACCTACGCCTCCTCCTACGCCTCCCAAACTTGGAACCAAGCAAAACGACGGCGATGACAAAACCGATAATTTTGTTGAGGTGTGGCGGCTCACTGGGCAAAGGAAGCTCCGGCACCTTCCTCCTTCTCCCTTAGACAATCCAGGTTTTTCTCTTCGAAGGTAAAACTGTTTTATCGTTTAAAATGCTGGGAAAAATATCTATCCTTCTAAAGGATATAAGTTTATATACTAACCGTTGATTTTCGTACATCAATCTATCCTTCTAAAGATATAAGTTTATATCCTTTCAGATCCTAACTGTTGATTTTCGTTCATCAACGATTATAATCTATTGGGCCAAACTTAATGGGCCAAATTTATTATTAATTAATTAATAATTTTAATCCAATAAATTATAACAGTTGATGGACGAAAATCAACGGTTAGGATCTAAAATGATATAAGTTTATATCCTTTAAAAGGATAGATGTTATTCCCATAAAATGATTTATACTGTAGTTAATGAAAACTTTAGTGCAATACAGACTCAAAACTGATATCTCACAAAAGGTTATTTTTTAAGGAAAATTGTTTCTTAAGTACCATTTTTTATACACTACATTTATTGCTTAATGATGGCTCAACCAGCAAACGAGGTATATAAATTATGTTTTGAATATTCTTAATTGAAAAGAGAGAATGGTGTAGAGTGATTAAGTATAAATAAATTCTAGTTGAATCATGTTTTAAGATTGGTTTATGGTGAAGTGTTAGAATGGTGTTCACTATTAAATAACAAGAATGTTTTCTATGGCAGTGGTGTTCAAACAGTTCTAGCATCGTAGAATTTTTGTAGGGAACAAAACTTTGGTAGATGTAGGGTACATCTTTTCCCCAAAAGCAGAAAAAAATTCAATGTGGTGGATTTTTTTTTTTTCAAAAGTGGTAAATTTTTTTCAAAATATGAAAAAAAATTGTCCCAATTGGTCACATCTGATGCACCAAAGTTTCTACTTATTACTTGAATCAACTGTTATTGATGTGTTTTTTTTTTCTTCTTCTTAATTTTGATTTTTGTATGAGATTTGTTCTGTTGAACTTGATTTAATATGAGCATATAAAATATTACTTGTCTATGCAAGCAATGATTTGGATTTGTATTTTAGTTATTGGCTTTCAACAGAATCAGCACTTCGGCTTCATAGTATTCCACATGTTGATTAGTTGCAGTAATTTTTTTCCCTTAAAAAATTGTCAGGAAGACAGTGGATCATGATGGAATGATAAATACAAAACATTCATACAATTTGGATAGATCCTCTTTAGATCCTTCTGTTGCTAAAGCAAAATATAATATGAGAGTGCATATTCCAGCCGCAAAAATCTTGATAGGTTATTTCTTTCTCCATTACTGTGTTATGCCTTGAGAGTTGAAGTATTGGGCATCCTTTACCTTCATATGTATCTGTTGTTAATGCAGGCAATAGTTCATGTAAAACCCTCAGACCCAAAAAAGTCTCTCATGATGATGACTGTGAAAGTATTTCCAACTTGAGCTTGCATGTTGCTGCCAGTGCCAAGAGTGCGACCACAAGTGCAGTTACCAGTCCTTTTACTAGTCCACATAGATCAAGCAATGCAGATTTCTTTGATCCTATCATCAATTTTCCTCTAGAAGTTAATGACAATATGAAAATGTTACCAGCTAAAATCGTTCGTAGTCCAGACCATTCTCCTATTCATTGCCCAATGAGCCTCAGTTGTTACCTCAATCCTAAAATTAAAGAGGGATCTCGGCACCATAAATTTTTGTCTAGGGTGTGGCCTGAAAATAACCATGTTGATGCTCATCCGTTACCCTCTCCTCCTAGAGCTTCAGCATCAGCACAATTATCTATCATGCATCAATCAAGTACCATGCATCACACTACAGAAAATCTGCCTTCAACAAAAGGTCAATGGCAGAAAGGAAAACTTATAGGACGCGGCGCCTTTGGAAGTGTATATCATGCTACCAACCTGTATGCAATTCATTTAATTGTTCTGCTGGTTACTCATTCATCTGCTATTAAGTATGCATTTTTCTATAATTACTCATGTACTATATTGTTTATCTGACAGAGAGACTGGAGCCTCATGTGCAATGAAGGAGGTGGATCTAATTCCTGATGATCCTAAGTCTGCTGAGTGCATAAAGCAACTAGAGCAGGTTCTTCCCCTAAGTTCTTTTTTTTTCTTTGTGAATTTTTATCTTGTCCAAATACAAGGCTAAGGGACAATAATATTGAGTTTTTGGTAAAAATATACCTGAGAGCCAAATCCATGTAGCACTATTTGATTGGCCCTGACTATTGCTCTACCATTGTCATTAGAGTTAAACAACTACCGCTATAAATGGGATTCATAAGCTAATGTCATAAATGTTCAGGAATAGTTGTAAGATTACAACTACTTGAAACATCCTAAGGGATATTATGTTGTGATTGAGAATGGCAAAACCCATTGCATTAAAGAGCCCAACAAAGGGTTCAACACCATATCTTAATCTAAAATCTCAAAACATTATGTGTTCTTGCATTTATATGTTCTTTACTCAGCCCATTTCTAACACATATGGGGCTGAATTATTTATCACTCACACTAGAATTTTCAACACTTTACCTATAATTTCATTGTGAATACATCTATATCGTGTTGATTCCTAATCTTTATAATCATGGCATCAACTTCAACTTTTTCCCATCTTCCCTTCCTTTTAAGGTTTCTTTTATTAGAATATTGTGTTTTCCAATCCATTTTCTGATAACTAGCACAAAAAATTCACTAATTGCTTTCTAGATAGAAAAGCAAAGTATAAACAAAGCCAGGATGACAAATTTGTACTCAATTGATATTGCATAAGGGGTTTACAAGATAAGCCTTGTTAACATGATTTATTTTCTAGATAGTACAAAAAATAATTTTTTTCAATCATTAAGTTTTTACTACAATTCAATCATGATACACATAGAGCACTAAAATTTATTTTCTGACTAATGTAGAAACTAAATTTTTGCAGTCAATTACACTGTTATTGCAGGTTCTGAAGAAACTTTGAATCCCTAGATCTTTATCTTTCCTTTTTCATTGCGATTATGTTTTTCTTTTGGGCATTTGCCAAATGGGTGGTGTTTAGTGCACATTTGCCAAACAACTTTAACAAATTTGTCAAATGGATGGTGTTTAGGCTGTTGGTCTTAAAATTTCTTTTTTCAGGAAATCAGAATTCTGCGTCAACTACACCACCCCAATATTGTGCAGTATTATGGAAGTGAACTAGTGAGTTAATTGTTGGTTCTTGACTTCTTGTCCAAAGTATACTAATGCAGCCTTATGAAATTTTAAGGATATTTGTGATTGTAAATTAGATTTACTTTTGAAACATTTGTGTTTTCAGGTTGGAGATCATATTTATATATATATGGAGTATGTCCATCCTGGATCAATTAATAAATTTATGCGTGAACATTATGGAGCTTTGACAGAATCTGTGATTCGCAATTTTACAAGGCATATTCTCTCTGGATTGGCTTACTTGCATAGTACCAAGACTATCCACAGGTGACAACGATGATTAATGAAACAAACCATTTTATCTTATTTTATTTCTCTGAATGGCCACTTATTATATTTCATGAGAACAATATTTTGACAAGTGATGCACAAGCTGAATCTTGCTATAAAGTAATGTTGTAACACTTTATTGTATATAACCGGTGGTCTACTAAAGAACATTTTTCTGTTGGATTTCTTCCTAGTAAATTTTGATTGGCATTCCCTTATGAAGTTTGGTAAAATGGTTGATTTGGTTTTTCAGAGATATCAAAGGTGCAAACTTGCTGGTTAACGAATCAGGCATTGTCAAGCTTGCAGATTTTGGGGTGGCAAAAATTGTGAGTTTTTAAGTTCTATACATTTTAACCTTCTCACTTGTGTTAATTTTCTTTATAGTTGCAACTTGCCATAATGGTTGAAGCTAACATCTTTTTCTCTTGTTTTTGGTGGTCTTTATATCTGAACAATTTGCTTATTCCAGCTGACAGGGAATTCATATGACCTTTCTTTGAAGGGTAGTCCGTACTGGATGGCTCCAGAGGTATATAGTTGCTCGAATCATCTACTGTGTTTTAGATTGGTAATGACATGCCCCTTTTGACTTTAATTTGTCCATTGAAGGTCATGAAAGCTGCCGTAAAGAATGAATCCAATCCTGACATTGTCACGGCCGTTGATATATGGAGCTTAGGGTGCACCATCATTGAAATGTTGACAGGCAAACCTCCTTGGAGTGAATTTGAAGGGGTGAGCACCTTCTTATGCTTGTTAACTCTTTATGATTTAAGGCTTGTGCATGTAGTTTGGTGGTTCATCTTTTTCACTTCTTTTAGCGTGGCCTCAATTAATAATTCTCCTTCAAAGAAGAATGAGAAAGAGCACTACTTAATGCTATACATTTACATTTTATTGCATGGTTTAGGAATCAGCCCTCAATAAAGTTGAGTTGGATTAAGGTTTAAGCATTTCTTACTTTATAATAAAATCTTTTTTTTCTCCTCTTAGAAGCATTGGGTGGTCTTCCCTTGATTTTACATTACAACCCCATTGATTATATTCTGCTTTGACGTATGTCTAAGCAAGCTATTTGAATATCCTTGCATTTGCATCCCACTGATATACCAAATCTACATTTTAATATGCTTGTTATCTTCTGTACTTGTTAATTTAATAACCTAGTGGTATTTTGTTTATTAGCCTTCAGCAATGTTCAAGGTACTGCACCAGTCCCCGCCTCTACCTGAAATTTTATCTTCAGTGGGAAAGGATTTCCTCCAACAATGTTTACAAAGGGACCCTGCAGATCGACCATCTGCAGCAATGCTTCTTAAGCATCCCTTTGTACAGAATTTGCATGATCAACATGTTCTAGTTCAACCACACTTGTATCCTAGAGGAAGCATAGGACAAGGAGTAAGTGCTAATTATACTTGAACTCCTCTAAGTGGACAATTGACAAGGTCCAAGGAAATCATCATGAATTGTAATTTATAAACCAGCACTTGCTTGGTTTTAAGATGAAAAAATAAAAAGATAAAAAAAAAAAAATGGTATTCGGGTAACTCTAATGTGTTGTTCAATTGTTTGTGCTATGTAGGACAATTCACCTAGTCCCGGAGACATTACCAAAAATAGACATGACATAATGCCAGCCTCCATAAGCGCACGGATTTTTAACAAAATTCAGAAATTAATGGGGTGTTGTTTTCATCACTGTTTGCTGGAGCATTAGCTTTGCACATTATAAATGTTAAACTATATAGATAAATATTATTCTTGGTGTCTGATTGGGATTTATTCTCTTTGTTGTTTTGGTTTTTACAGTGATACTTCCCAATAATCTAATGCTGAGGAATCTAATCATATAATACCGATTCGTCAGTCTCATGTTCCAGAAGTTAACATTCTTCAATCCTCCTTGAAACCCCTCAATGTCACGAGAATGATGAAGCATGTCACTAGCTGAGGTTTCGCTTAAAATTTAGAAGGATGCAGTTGGAAAGGGGCTAGAGAATGAATTTTGCAAACCTTTCATGGAGAATCAACATATCAGGGATTTCAACTCTGGTCTTTCATAATGTTAAAATTTTTAATAAATAAAAGAGAAATTGAGAATGAGAGGTAAAAGATTTGATGAATTCATATTGATTTGTAGTAATTATTATTATTATTATTATTGTTATTATATTAAGGCTGTTACTTGAACTTATTCTCTAGCCAGAAATTCACGCTTAAACATAAGTAAATATGAACTATATTATTTTGCCTAAACCATTATTTTAATCCTGTTTTATATAACGAATATATTTTATTTTATTTTGTTGAATATATGATGATTATTCTAATCCTTATGGTACTTAGTCTGGTGTGGGTTGTGGTAAGAGTGATTCTTAGTTAAGGATAGTTTGAAATGCGTAAGATTGAAAGCTTTATGATAAAAATGCACTTATATTTAAAAGGTTGTTTATGTATTCGAACCTTATTCTATTGAATTATTAATAAAATGGAAAAATTATACATGAAATTAATTAGTTCTATTTATGATATAATAATGAATCAAACTTTAAGCAATTGGGCTATCATTATCTTTATCCTTTTTTAAGGATTTTATCTATTGAAGCCTAAGAGTAGTACAATAAAATCAGTTCTTAGCAGTTTACCAAAAAAATAAAAAAATCAGTTCTTAGGCAAGTATATGAGCCATTAAGTGTAGCAAAGTTGGCTAGTGAGTTGCCACTTGATTTCAGATACGTCGATTATAAAAGCAATCAAAATCATCGAACCATGAAGTATAGTCTTACAAATGTACAAAGATGAAGAAGGATAAACCATTATGTATTTTTTTAATGAATGAAAATGAATTACATCTACTGATATTTATACAACATAACAGATATTGTACTGCTATGTGAGATACAAAAGTAAAGTACAACTAACTAAACTTAACAGTACAAATCTAAACTATTAATTTTTTCTGTTCCAACTAACTTCATAACTGTCACTTCAGAAACTTCATAATGTGTTACATAGCAACAAATGTCATTCAGAATAGAAGCAGTTTTGGCATGTCATTCTAAAATCACTATATTTGCAACCAATTTCCCAGAAGATGAGATCCTCTCGAAGCTGCAAGAAATTCTCCCATTTTGGCGTTCACAGCACACCCACCTTCAAGAAAGTTTAGGCAGCAACAAAACCTCTAACACAGCAACATCCAGAGTCGGGCTATCAGTTAAAAGTAAACAAATTTGGATAAAATACACTTTGACTTTTAGTTTCCTAAAAAATAAATAAATAAAAAGACGAAGAAGCAATTGAGCCAATAAATCAAACTGAATACGCGTTCAGCCAGTATACATCTCCAACTTGTCACATGATGCTATAGCAATATTATATAATTTAGCACATTCAAAACATGTACGACAACTTTGAATACAGAAATCCATAATAAGTAGCGTTATAAAGTGGGACACATCCTTAAGGAACGTGCTTGTCTACAACTTGACTCAAAGAACACGAGGTTCCCTCTCCGTTTTTGTTGAAAGGAAGTTTGTAAATTTAAATTACTGTTACAAAGTTGTTTTAAAATTACTATTACAAAGTTGTTTATATTTTAAAACCACTGTGATCAGATTGAATAGGATAGAGTTGTTAGGATATTTTTCCTATTATTATTCAGAGAGTTGTTTTGTACACTTGTATATATACCTCATTAAAGAGGAAGATGATATATGAATGAAAAAGCATCATTATTCACCTGTATTGCATTCTGACATGGTATCAGCCTTTTGATCTTGGGAATCATTCCCACCTCAATTTTTTTTCCAACACCCGTACACCACACCCTCTTCCTCCTTCTTTTATACAACCCGACCCATTTCCTCCTCTCTTTTTTGTTAACCAACCTGTACCCCACCCGTAACTCATCCGTAACCCAATCGATCTAAATTCCTAATTCCCAAATTCAATGGCCTCCGTCACCCCTCCAAATGACTCCAATGACTCCAACCCTCTCTCAAATCCCCCAGCCACCGTCACTTCCCCTGTACCCTCTAATATTGTTATTCAACAAGACACCTCCTCGTTCCCCATTACTGTTGTCCTTGATGATAACAACTATCCTCTTTGGTCCCAACTAATGGACATGAGGATCGGAGCTCGGAACAAGTCGGGATTTCTCACTGGAACCACAATGAAACCAGCAACCACTGATCCGACGTATGAATCCTGGATCACCGACAACAAGCGGGTGAAAAGTTGGTTGATCGACTCGATGACTCCTCAACTGATGCAACGCTTCATCCGCCTCGACTCCGCTCATGAAATCTGGGATGCGGCTCGCCGGACCTTTTATGATGGTTCAGATGAAACTTGCCTTTTCGAACTCAACCAACGCTCCTTCTCAACCAAGCAAAACGGTCGTCCTCTGTCTACATACTACAATGAACTCCTCTCCATATTTCAAGAAATTGATCACCGAATGACCTCCCCTGCCACCACCGTGAACGAAATACTTCAAACACACTCATCCCTGTCTCGTCTGCGTGTCCACATCTTCCTTAGTGGCCTGGACTCTGATTTCGACCAAGTCCGTGGTGAAATCCTTCGAAAAGATCCCAAATTGGATTTGGAAAACTCGTATGCATATGTTCGGCGAGAATATCAGCAACGTATTACCATGGGTCGTCCTTCACTCACATCAGATTCTTCGGCCCTACTGTCACAGGTTCCTCGACCTTCCCCTGTTCCTCCTAAATTTCGCAAAGAGGGTTCTTCTGGGAAAACCCTTGTTTGTTCACACTGTGGTGAATCTGGACATTCAAAGACTCGTTGCTATGAAATTGTTGGATATCCTGAGTGGTGGGATTTTAACAAGCGTCCTCGCAGAAAGGTACCATCCAAAGCCCTCCAGTCTTCCACCGAAGGTGAATCCTCTCCACACCCTCGTGCTAATGCTGTGTATGAAGGAATTTTAGGTAACTCTCTTACTCTTTCTGCTCACTCTCGGAATTCTTCATGGATAATTGACACTGGGGCGTCAGATCATATGATTCGTGATGCCTCCGCCTTACAAAATTGCTTTCCTTGCCCAACAACCACTATCACCACTGCTAATGGTGGTTCTGCTTCTGTTACTGGTCAGGGTACCGTTGTTCTTACCCCCCACATTACTCTTCACTCTGTGCTTCTTGTTCCCTCTCTAGACTTTAATTTACTCTCAGTCAGTCGTCTTACCTCTCACATTAACTGTAATGTTATTTTTTATCCCACGTTTTGTGTCTTTCAGGACGTCCAGAACCAGGTGATTGGCTATGGTGTTAGACGAGGAAATCTCTACTTCTTGGACCTCTCTGTTGATGAACCAGATCCACATGCAAGAGCCTCTGTGACTACATCTCCAGGTTCTTCCCACTCTACTGCTTGGCTTTGGCATAGAAGACTCGGACATCTCTCCTTCAGTTATCTTAAAAGATTGCTTCCAAATTTATTTTCCAATTTTAATTCTTCTAAATTTCAATGCTCTGTTTGTGAAATGGCTAAAAGCCATCGAATTCCATTTTATCCAAGTATGAATAAAAGTTGCATTCCTTTTCAAGTTGTCCATTCTGATGTTTGGGGACCTGCTAAGGTCCCATCTTTCTCTCAAGCTTATTATTATGTATCTTTCATTGATGAGTGTACCCGTATGGTGTGGATTTCCTTACTCAAACATAAAAATGAAGTCTTCTCTGCCTTTAAAAAATTTCATAGCATGGTTCATACCCAATTCAACAGTACCATTCAAGTTCTTCAATCGGATAATGGCCTAGAATACAAGAATGGTTCCTTCTCTGAGTTCTTAACCTCCTGTGGTATTAAACATCAAACCTCCTGTACGTATACACCTCAACAAAATGGGTTGGCAGAACGGAAAAATAGACAACTCTTAGAAATAGTACGCGCTTCCCTTTTTGATATGAATGTACCTTCTCATTATTGGGGTGAGGCTGTTCTCTCCGCTGCATATTTGGTGAATCGTACTCCTTCTAGTGCCATCAATTTTCTCACCCCCCAACAAAAATTGGAGACTTTTTTCTCTATTCCCCATAAAATGAATCTTGAACCCCGAATATTTGGCTGCATTACATATGTTCACATTCCCAAACCTCTTCGAAATAAACTTGATCCTTGTGCTCGAAAATGCATTTTTGTAGGCTATTCTGATCTACAAAAAGGATACAGATGTTTTGATCCCAAGTCCCATAAAATGTTTGTCACCCTTGAAGTTTCCTTTAGAGAAACCGAACCCTTCTATTCAGGGGGAGCCCCTTCTTCTCCTTCTCAGGGGGAGATTCAGCATATTAGAGAAGGAGAATTTTGGTTATCATCCCATGTGACTCCTATTCCGGCACCCCCTCTTCCTACAAATCAAATTCCTCCTCAAGTTCCAATCTCTGAACCACCTGAAACAATCCATCATAGTACAGACCCTCCTTCACCGCATGAGATTCCACGTTTACCACACATAGCTGAGTCACCTGCAGAGGACAACACTGAAGCACAAGCAGAAACCACTACTGAGGTAAGTCCTATCCGTAATATAGAACTTTCAATTACTACTCCTAGCATCCCATCCCCACAAGTCAGAAGGTCAGATAGACCAACCAAAGGTATACCAAAACCTTTTTATGAAGCAGATCCAAAAGCAAAAGTCAAGTATCCCATAAGCAATTATGTTTCCTCTCACAAGCTATCCGGATCATATGCTCTAACACTCAATCAATTATCCACTGTATCTATTCCTAATAGTGTGCAGGAAGCGTTGGAGGACCCAAAATGGAAACAAGCAATGAACATCGAAATGGAAGCACTCCAAAAGAATGAAACATGGATGTTAACTTCCTTACCTAATGGCAAAAGAAAAATTGGATGCAAGTGGGTGTACACCGTAAAGCTCAAGGCAGATGGAAGTATTGATAGATACAAAGCGAGACTTGTGGCAAAAGGATATACACAAAAGTATGGGGTGGACTATCAAGACACATTTGCTCCCGTGGCTAAACTTAACACAATTCGGATCCTCATATCCAT